CATCTATTTTGTGTCAGTGTTTGGTTTTAAGAATTATTTACCTAAAACAAGCCATTTTAAAATGTCCCTGTTTGTGATGTCACAATTGGGGAAATTATAATAGCATCACCTCTCATGTGCAAGGGAGAACTGATGGAAGAGCAGCAGTGGCTCTACTCCAAGCCCCTCCTGGATATCAGAGCTTCGCAGCTTACAGCAGCCAATTATTCTGGCCAGCTACCACTTGTTTTCTTAAAGTGATAGAGCCTTGAAACTGCTCATTCTGGAAGGTACTGAAACTGTCAAGACTAAAATAGCTGAAATCCCTTCTATGAGCGTGTATTTAGTGCATAGAACTTCATGAACGTGTTTGAAATTGACCATAGAACTATTATAGCTCAAGAAAAAGAGTCATAAGATTAAATTAATATTTAATCTTTACAACAGATTTTGACCAGTTTTTGTTCATTTTCTTTCTCTACATCACAATTTCTCTTATTTCGTCTTACACATGAAACTGATGTTACATTTAGTGACTCTAAACTCGAAGTCTAATTTATTTATTGGAGTTTTAAAAATAAAGATTGATTAAATCAGACCTAAACCCAATGAGGCAGGTTTTCTCAGAGCTCCAGCTTAAAAATCATAATAAATCACATCCAGATGTTGAGTTCAAAGCTATTTTTTACTCCTTACCTAGCTAACAGCAACATTCCATGAACGTGCCTGAATTGAAGCTGTTTTTTTAATTGAATTTACCTTAGAAAATATCTGCATGTCTAAATTGACTAAACTTTGACATAAGTCTACTTTTCATTGAGATTGGCAACAATAAACTAAAGTTTATTTATATAATAAAACAGCTGTAACAACTTGCGGATATAAGCAAAGTGAACATTCTAGAGTCTTCTAGAGTCATATATTCCATATATTTCCTCAAACACATTACAGCATTAAGAAAAGGTATATATTCATGTGTGCAGTTAGTCACTTTTTGATGATCTGGGGGTTTTCCTTTGTACCACTTTAAAGTGACAGTGTGTATATTTCCTGGCGATAGAGGGCAGTAGATACCTAAATCGTTGCAAACAATCAGTGTTTTTGTGTTAGAGTAAGACCTTACCAACGGGGGTCAAAAAGCCCTGAGGAGTGCAAACTTCAGCAAAATAACAAGCACATCAGACTCCCTTTCATCACTGGCAACAAGTGAAGAGGTAAATGTGTAAAACAACATTTAAGAATGATGAAAGTTTTGTAACCGTTTGGTACAAATCAGTAAATGCATTTTGTCCTCATGGGTTCCTGTAGAAGCAAACATGGCATCTGATATGGCGTCACCCAGAGACTTAGACCCACTCCTTATTTTTTTGATCATATGTTACGAAGCCGCCAATATTTTTCAACATCTGGGCATCTTTTCATTCATTTTCAACAACATTTTGATGGATATTTCCAGAAATTAATGGTAAAAACTACACATTGTCTCTTTAATATCAGAACATTTTGAAAATAAAAAGACTATTTTGTTATTAAAAATAAAAAAGAAATGAAAAAAGAAAAATGTTCCCTGTGAGACAAAAAATAGGTTATGGATGACTCTAGCTGCCACCACTTCAAATTTCAACTCATTTAGAGTTATGCCCATCGCAGGTATTCTGAAATCACCATTATTTTTTTTTTTTACCATCATTACTCATCATCAAGCATGGTGGCCCAGAAGGTTAAACTAAATACAAAAATTGCGATACAATGTCAAAATCTGCAATGGAAGTAATAATATAGCAAAAAACATAAAATGGGATTAAGTTTTGTGCGGACTGAATGTAAGCTAAATCAGAAGTTATGCTAATATCTTAATAGCCAAAAACGTAAAGCCTTGATGTCCTCAATGCAGCCTTATCATTTATGTATGTTTTTGTTTTTATTCTGACGGATCACAACTTCTGTCATATTTTATTTTAGCTTTTTTTTTTTTTACTCATGCCTTAATATGACTTTGGTTATAGGTTTTGTTGTGTTGCAGTTTTCTTTCACTGAACCTTCTGGGCTCCAGAGTTCACAATTTAAGGAGAGTTGCACTGTTTAGTGGTGATTTAAAGAATTAATATTGGCTTCTATAGAAATTACCAACATCAGTATTAGAAAAATATATGGAATAAATATTTTAACAGCATTCAGAAATTAGTTTTAAATATACATAGATGCCTAATTACTTGGATCAGCAAGTCCTGTGGAACAAATAAATGGGCTGATGAAGCTGCTATAAAAGCAGAAAGGGGCTTCAATGGAAGCTCAGATGTCCAAGCAAGGAGGAAGTGCATTTTTTTTATTTGTTTTGTTTTTTAGACAAGTTGATGTTTGGAAGTAAAACTATTGCTGGATGCCATGACACAACTTGTGTGGCGGGTCATATCAGAGCCAATTTTTTGTGCTCCACCGGTGTGTTTTCCCCCCATTCTGCCATATTCCTTATACCAACTTTTACAAACCACATCACACCATTTTGAATTTTAGCTACTCTCAGGTGTCGTGGTTCGTGTGATATTTCCTAACAATAACAAACGTAGGGATGAGTTTTATTATATAAAAAGGATTTATTATATGATGAATGATGTTAAAATTATTATCTGGGTACATTTTAAAACAGACTAGAAAGTTTGGAGGTTAATTGCAAAGTGTGGTGAGCTCATTGATGCCCTCTTGCTACTGAGAAAGGAAGTGGAGCCTGAACTAAAGAGGCACAAAGCTCTTCTATGAGGAAAAGCCAATTTATTAAAGCATCTTTTTTTAAATTCTTGAATGCTCAGTGCATCCCCCTGAACCAGTAAATGGATCTTTTCCTCCCCTGCCTGCTTGCTTGCGCCTTCTGTTGGTTAGCCCTCTGTAACCCCCCCCCCCCCCCCCCCCCCCCCCCCCCCCCGTCTGCTGCACACTGGGACATTACCATTTGGTGAGACCGACTGGCTTTGGTGAGGGAGACGTCGGGGGGTCCAGCAGGGGGTACTCCTGCACTCAAGGTTGACTTGGTGCATCGCCTGAGCTGCAGGGTCTCTTTGTTATCAGTGAACGCCCACGTGTCGTCACAGGGGAGAAGGCAGAATATAGATGACACAATATATACATGACACAATCTCTGGGTCTGTAGTAATAAGCTCAGCGGGTCGAGCCTTTGACCTTGTCAGAAATGGAGACCAATGCCTTGCCTCTCTAAATAATCGGCCAGCTCAGAAAAAAACATCTCTCATTTTCCAGTTCAAGTTGAGAGGAGGCTGTTGATGATTTTTATCAGCAATGAATTAAAAAAGGTTTAGGGGCTGATGAAGTGTCAGCAGCAGTGTACCTGTATCATCAGTAGGTGTCGCCATTGAGCTAATTAATGCTTCAGACAAGGGCAAGCGTTTACTACTGAAATATTTGGAGGAACATGTTGGCTTTTTGGAAATCTGTACCAGTTAACGTATTTAGGATTTATCTGGTGTCTGGGTTTGGTTGAACTAATAGATTTGACTTTAAAAAGTGATGATGTGACCTCTGACCCTCTCATCACATCTATTCCACAGAAATAAAATTTCCTATTAATCTTGATTATAAATAGAAGCAACCTTGTTATTTATTTTAATACATCCGTCATAAATGATTTCTTATTTGGAGATCAATGTTGGTCATAATTTCTTTCTTCCTGGACTTCTTTGTTTCGTTGCCTCTCTGACACCAGCAGAAAAACAGAAAAGGAAATGATAACGGTGACGATTTGCCTTCGCGTGCTCCGCTTCGCCTCCTTTTGTCATTCAGATAACCTCATGAATATTTCACCCCTCTGATCCAGCGGCTGGAGGAAAGCGAGGGGCTGGAGCGGTCAGGGTGTGGGGTAGCTCTGGTCTGAGTGTCGACCTGTGTGAGGATGACAGTCTGGATTATTCGGCTGTCTTCTCTTTAGTCCTTCTGCCCTTGAAAGGACGAGTGTGTGTAACAGCTTCAGCTTTCTGCATTTTTATAGATAATAACATCAGCGAAGCAGGAGATCCGGGCAGGGTTGAGTGTGATTGCTGGTGTCATACAGAGTCACCTTGCTGCCCTGGCACTGGGTGAGGGGTGAAAACCAGTGAGGTGACTGGGGGACATGCTCCCAACTTACCAGTGCAGCCCTCCTGAGTAAGTTAGTGTGTGAAGCTCTCCATCATGTGGTGACTTAATGAGATGCAGCGTGGCCCCTTTAAGACTCCATCTTTTTTTGAGAATGGGCCCAGAGTCAGGGTTCTGTGTGTGCTGACCGTGGCCTCTGATGGTCTGGGGGGTGGAGGGTGTCTTGTTTTAGACCAAACCTCTCTGCAACGCATGCCCTTATCTACCAATGGAATGCAACAGCTGTGTGGGGGGAGCGGCAGGGTGGGCTGGCTGAAACCCCCCTGCCAGACCCCTGCATGGCTTCTCCCCCTCCACACACACACACACCACCCTACTCCACCTCCAAGCGAGCGACGTGCCGGGCTCCTGAAAGGCAGCACAACTCAAAAGTGATCCAGACACACAGAGAGAGGCTCGGCGGGGCTGCTACACGCTGAGGGGGAGAGAGAGAGAGAGAGAGAGGGGGGGAGGAAAAAAGGGAGAGGGAGGGAAGAGGGAGAAGGAGAGTCAGGGACAGGCAGTGCTGAAAAGGAGAGCACAAAGAGAAGGAAAGTGGAGCAGGGGAGGGGAACAGGAGGCTGGGTGAAGGGAGAGGGAAAGACAAAAGAAGGAGAGGGGAGACAGGACTGAGCAAATGGCTACGGAGGAGACGGCGGGGGGAGCCAGGAAAGCCACCAAGAGCAAACTGTTTGAGTTCCTGGTCCATGGAGTGGTGAGTGGCGCTGTCTGTCATTCCCATGTAGAGGAGCCGAGCTCTGGCATGCATCTGTGTGTGTGATGGTGTGGATGAGTCGGTGGAGCAGCGTGTGTGTGTGTGTGTGTGTGTGTGTGTGTGTTATAGCTGGGTAAAAGCTGGCCATGTGAAGGATATTTCCAGCCCCTCTGATCCGTCAGGAGATGGCTTGAGGAGGATGAGAAGTGGAGCAGCATGAATGGATGGCTCTGAGCGGGAGGGAGGATTTCTACACATGAATAATTGTAGAAACAGAAGCTAAGGCAGCAGCAGCTCCTCCTTTTGCTAACATGAGGAGGGAAATGACGAGGTCCTTCCAGAAGGCGAGATGCTGGCTTCAACCTGTGAGGTCATCAGATGGAGTCAGAGCAGACGGCCGATCCTGGAGATCACACCGAACAATCAGATCCTTCATGTAACACCAGCTCGGCTAGAGGTTAGGCAGCTGTGAGCTGACACATGGGGCAGGTTTGTTTTGGTCGACTTCACCTCATCTCCAACATTTATGGCAGCTTAAACCACTCCTGACCTCAAACCAGACAACATATTCTCATTTCCACATAAAATAAAGGATCTAACCAGGCGCATTTATTACATTTTGTGATACAGATTATAAAAAACTCTGATATTTGCCAATTAAGTGAATAAATAATGAATTAACTGGCAAGAAAGTATGAGAAGATCCTCAGGAAGCAACAAACTTAATATTATTGTTGTTGCTGCAGATAAATGATGGATTTAATGCTGTTACGGTCAAAGAAGGCATGTGAAGCATTTCTGTGTGATGGTGGTGAGCCTCAGCTACCAAAACACCAAATCCTGACTCAATAACTGAAAACAGCTGAGTTTGAGGCGTTGATGCGTTTTGGCTGTGGCGGCCATCTTGAATCAAGGTGACTCCAGAAGTTAATTAGCTGAAGATGTTCTTCTAATGAGAGTTGGATTCAAATCCATCCAGTTTGGGATTATTCTGTTTATTACCAACGCAAACCGGATGATTGAACAGTTTTCAAGACTCCTGTTAGAAGTTGAACTGGTTTAAACTGGTGAAATGGGAAATGGGCACAATCTTCCAATTCCATGTTAGGAATGATTCAAATAATGACCATTTCAAGCTTGAATTGTTTAAAAAAACACTCAAAATTTATAGAAACATCATAAAGTTATTGTAAAGCTTCATCTAAAGTTTAGTTTGAATCATTTGCTGTGCTTAATTGAAATATGCACTGATAATCTACATTATTTAATAAGATTTTTACAGGATCTGATGGTTTTCTCTAATGAAACGGTGAAAAACCGTCTCGTATCCATCGTAAAGGCTCTAGGTGATACTTTTATGCTTTAATCTGTGAAGTTTTCTGACTCGGTTTGGGTTTTAATCCACGCTTGGTTGATTAATACTCTGAAACCAGATGAGATGTGGTGTCTTTGACAGGAACAGTCATTAAAAGGGGTCTGGGTGGCGAAGTCCCGCGCTCGCAGACACATTTTAGGAAACAACGGAGCAGGTGATTGATGAGCCAGATGAATCCGTCCTCTCAACAGACCAATTAACCTTGATGAGTCTCTGGCTGCTCTAAGCCAAATATTTCTCTCTGCTTGTTTTCTCCTCTCCCCTTTCATCCTCGTTTCTTCCCTCATATTTGATGGAAACATCTTGTTTTTATGCAGAAATATTTATACTAAAAGATGTGGGATCTGGCTCAGTGTGTCAGCTTGTGGTGGACGATGATATTTTCTTTCCTTTAGTGGGGAAATGTAAGAAGAAAATGGCTTTTTGATGCAGAAAACTTGCTAAAACTGCAGCCTGTGGTTCTTATGCAGTTTCTCCACTGAGGGACTAATAAAGGTGTTCTTATTCTTATTCTTATGGGTCATTATCTCCTCTATGTCCCATCTCGTATCTGTGGACGTACGGTTGGAGGAAAATCCTCCGTGAGAAAACCAAAGATAAGCCAACACGTGAAGTGGCACACTGTAGCTATGTTGTCTGCAAAATGTTGCACAATTTGTGCAAAAGTGAACACAGACTTGATTTTTCTCCCACGTTAGTCGTTCTTTAAAGGAAAAGTTCCCACAAGGGGAGTTTCTTCCATGTTTCTGGAGTTTTGGGGTAATCAACGTCTGAAAGATGCAAAAGATCTTTTTATTCTGGGTGATTATTTTTTAAAAGCCGTCGTCACGGTGATCTGGTCAGCAGCCATGATGACATCTTTCTGTTTCTTCAAATAATTAAATATTTGAATCATAAAATCAAACAAAAGTAAACACAAGCAAATCTAAAATGCTCATTAAACCAGATTTATTCTGCTGTTTACATGTGTTCAACTTTTAGAAATTCATTTATATAATAATAATATACAATAGAATATCAAAATAATTTCAATCAAATTAAATTAGTTTATCATTGTAATCTATCATTATTTATGAATATCTAGTCAAACAAAAATATTTATGAGAAATAACTAAGATTTAAGAAATTATAAGGTTTGTTTTATTTACTTAAATATTCTGATAGTAAATATTTAATATAAAATATTTAAATACAAAGTCAAATAACATGTTCTTAAAATAAGGAGAAATGCAGATATTGTTTATTTGAACTATTTGATTTATTATTTAATATAATTAAAAATAAAAAACAATTTTGGTTTTTAAATCATTAATAAATACATAAAACTAAATAAATACAATATATTTATACAAATATTTTTTTCACGTTTTTTTGCTTCTCAATTTATTCACATAGGAAAAAAATAATCATAAGAAAAATGACAATATTTAGATGTTTATTTTTCATTTTTAAGTAAAAAATCATCTTTGGGGTGAAATAAATGTAAATATATGATAGATCCTATAGGTTTATATAACATGAGTCACTGGTGGCCTTGTGAGATTTTAAAAAGACACAGATATTCTATTGGTTTCTGTTTTATCATGAGTGGGTTATGTTTGGGTTCTTTTAATCCCGACGGAGATAACAGAACTCTTCTCAGATTGCGCCCGCAGCAGGTCTGATGTGGATTTACCCGACCCGGGTCTCGTGTTCTCCAGAGCCAAGAGTCCAGCCTGTTTTACTGTCTGATCTAAAGAAGCAGACGTTCAAGAGTTTTAAGACTCACAAGGTGACAACAGGCGGGCTGGACCATATGTTGTTTTACCCCTCGCCCCTTATCCCCTCTCAGAAACCAACCCCCCCACCCCCCCAGTCGGAGTGACAGCGACGTCTGCTCAGGCTTCTTACTTATTCCACCAGAGTCTGCTTTCAGAGCCTGTAAAAGCACGCTTGATCTGGCTGTTTTTGTTTGTTTTCAGTCCGTTTGAGGACAGTCTAAAGATCACTCTGGATGTGCCTGTTTGTGCAGAAATCCACTTTAATTGTGACAAACCTGAAGTTGTGGTTTTATGCAAAAAATTAGTGTCCATTTATTGTGTGTGATCATGAATTTATTCACCTTAACAAAAAGTCTTCTTTTTCTTACTATTACTGACAACAAAGGCATCATAGGGAACAAAATCTTGTCTACTTACAGGAAATATTCTATTTAATTTATTTACAAATGACAACAAGAGTCATCTGAAGGCACTTCACAACTTCACAAAGTAAACAATCTAGTTTAACCTACTTATTTTGGTTTCAAATGCAGCGGCATTGGGGTAAAAGCACGAGATTTTACATGCTTTTATTTTGAAAATAAGACATTCTGTTCACATTAGCAGGTTTTCCTTTTATCTTCAGCTCCAGTTGTTTGATTTATTTTCTTACATAAAACATTTCCTGCACAACTTTTGCATAAATGCCAATGAAGTAAAAATCGGATTTAATATCTTTGGTTTAGCAGATAAAGTGGGTTTGTTCTACTAAGCTGTGGTTAATAGATGTAAAGGAGGTCTGAAGTTTTTTTTTTTTTATTACTATTTCTGCACAAATGGCGTTTGGGTTCCAGACAATAAACAAGAGGCAGCTGTTCCTATCAGACTGATGGGAACAGGTGAGAGGCCCCCAGTTGTTCCCAAATGGCAGGAAGTGAGTTTAGGACCGAGGCATTTGGCACTTTAGGACTGTGTGTGTGTGTGTGTGTGTGTGTGTGTGTGTGTGTGTGTGTGTGTGTGTGTGTGTGTGTGTGTGTGTGTGTGTGTGTGTGTGTGTGTGTGTGTGTGTGTGTGTGTGTGTGTGTGTGTGTGTGTGTGTGTGTGTGTGTGTGTGTGTGTGTGTGTGTGTGTGTGTGTGCGCGCGCGCGTGCGTGAGATGAAACAAGGCGCCTGTGATTGTTGGGTACCAACATAGATTTGTAAAGGTGTTTTTCTAGGACGAATCTGTCTTATCTGTTTCAGACAAGAAAGGTGTTTTCAAGAAATAATTAATGAATTTCACACAAAGGCATGCAAACGAGCAGCGACTGATCTGATGACTGCTTGGTTTTATTTTTAGTAACCAAGTGATCATTAAATCAAACAGAAAGCACAGAGAGTGATAATTCCTATATTTGTTTCCGTCTGCTTCGCCCCTTCAGCGTCCTGGCATGCCGTCCGGAGCGAGGATGCCCCACCAGGGAGCTCCCATGGGCCCCCCCGGCCCCCCATACGGAGGGAGCCCCGCGGTGCGGCCCGGCCTGCCCTCCCCGGTGATGGAGCCCAGTCGTAAGAGGCCCGTCCCGTCCCAGCAGGTCCAGCAGCAGCAGCAACAGCAGCAGCAGCAGCAGCAGCAGCAGCAGACCGTCCAGAACCGAGCCAGGAAGTGAGTCCAGATCCGCTCCACCTTTGACTCCAAACACAACACCGCATGGCACACACGCAGAAAGCCATCTTCCTGTGGTTTATGACAGCTGTAAGGCAACAGTGGCTGTGGTTGATCTTCAAACTGGATCTGAATTATTAAAATTCCCACGACAAAAGAAAGTGGGATTGTGATGAATGTTTATGAACAATCAGCATCTTACTTGTTGTAGTTGGCTCTCCAAACCACTTCAGTTTGGAGAGATCGTAGAATTCTGATGTAAAGCTGATGACCTAGCAGCTAGTTTGAACTGGGTTGAGACCACAACATCTGCAAACCTAAAAAACAGCTTTTCACATGATTACTATTTAAAAACCTTTGTGTCATTTACACTTTGGTGTAATATGGTTATTTCAGCAGAAAATAGGATTCTTTTCCCCCAGGAGGAGATTCAAAATGCACTGGAAGTGCTACAGGGAGCTGCTTCTATAGCGAGCTGCTGCTGCTGCAGCGAGCCATTGCTGCTAAAGGACACTGCTGATAAAGCAAGTTGCTGTTAAAGTGAGCCGCTGCTACAGCTAGCCGCTGTTTCTAGTCAGCTACTGCTGCTACAGCTAGCCGCTGCTGCTAGTCAGCTACTGCTGCTACAGCTAGCCGCTGTTGCTAGTCAGCTACTGCTGCTACAGCTAGCCGCTGTTGCTAGTCAGCCACTGCTGCTACAGCTAGCCGTTGATACTAAAGTAAGCTTCTGATGAAGCAAGTTGCTGTTAAAGTGAGCTGCTGCTGCTACAGCAAGCTGCTGCTGTTTCTGTTCATTCTAAACAACAACAGAATTTTATGTAAACAACCATAACGTGTTCTTTAAAGGTTTACAGCAGGAATCTATAAAGGGTCCATTTGAGACCCTCAGAAGGATTTATTTTTGCAGCCCTGATTCCTTTTCTAGAATAAAGATAATTGGTCTCTGGAAGATATTGTGTTCAGTTTATTACTAACGTGCATATTTTATGCCTACTTTTGACTAGTACAAAATAAATATTTTTAACCTATAATAACTTTTGCATTTCTTTAACATAAAAACCTGAATTTTTTGTCCCACTGGGGCTTTTAACTTGACAATTTTGGCCCTCATCTTAAAGTTTGGACACCTGTGGCTATAAAGTAATGCTTGCGTGAACTGAAAAATGTTTGTGAGACTAAAAAAAAACACTTTTGTGGTCTTGATTAGCAGTTAGCTAGCTGTTAGCTTGTCAAACTTTCAAGCTCTTTTTCTCCAATCCTGAGTCGTCCAAAGAGTGAATTATTGACAACCTGTCCACATAACCCTAAAAACGTAGCGATTTCTGGCACAAATTTTAAAATATGTCAAATGAATACAGCTAATACGTACTGGCAGCTCAGGAAAGGCCTTTTCTCTCGTGTGAAAATCACAGGTGTTTAACTGGCAACGCATCACTTAGTGGAGGTTTTTCTTACAGTTTTCAGGTATTTTAACGGTTCCTTTTTCAGTAGTTACTTGGTCTTTTAGACCACTTTGCTGCTGACAGCTAGCATAAATCCGTTAAGCAGTCTTCTGAGTTGGACGCCCCTGACTGAGATCTAACGTGTTTCAGTCTTTGTGCACAAAAGGAAAACAAAGTCTAGAAATAGCCTTGGTCGTCAAAATGCATTCCTTGTCAAACAGAAAAATCAGGAAAAAAAGAACAACTTTACACATTTGAGAAGAGTTAAGCAGGGGTCACCAACTCTGGTGCTCGAGGGCTACCATCCTGCACATGCTAGCTGTTTCTTTGCTCCTACACACCTGATTAGAATGAATGAGTAATTAACAGACCTGTGCGTAGTTAAACGTGGTAACGAGAGGATTAAATGACTCCATTCAGGTGTGGTAGAGCAGGAAACACAGAAAACCAACAGGATGGTAACCCTCGAGGACTGGAGTTGGTGACACATGGTGTAAAGCGTTACTGCTACTATTAAACTGTAAGATTTACTTCAGAAAGTTTACATCTTTTATTTTGATGGTCAGAGAGAATGCGTAACAAAACCAAGCTAGTTGAGCAGGTAATTCAGTAGATTTTCACTCGCAGATGGAAGTGAAACCACAGTCACTGTGTCTCTCTTCATCTTCCATTTCAGGTTTTGTTTCCTCTTCTCTCGCTTGCCTCGTCTGCCCATTTCCTTGTGTCTTGCCTCTTGTGTCTTGCTTCTGTCACTTCCATGCACGAGTTTGGATTTCATATCTTCTGTGAGGTTTTTGGTCTCGTTTTACCATCACATGGAGGCAGTCCACACAAATCTGTCTGCAGATGCTTTATCTTGTGTTACACTGTCGTACCTGAACGTGAACACACATTCAGAGTTGCTGGATGTCTGTAGGGAAGTGTGTGTTTGTAGGGGAGGCAGGTATGCTCATTAGAAAGGCGATCGATTTGCACACTCTGTAGACCTCTCAGTTTCATTCTCACTATCTGCAGCCCGATTGATCCACTTACAATTAAGCAGGCTTGTCGAACAGGCCAGAGGAAGTGTTGTTCTGCGCCAGGGGCTCAACCCCTCAGAGCAGCCTGTCTGGCTGCCCTGCCTCTGATCGATGAGCCGATATGACCCGTCCAGGCGTCTTTGTCTCTCTGTGTCCTCTGGCAAAGAGGTTGGTGCTCTGGATCCTCCATCCCGCCCAGACCCCTGTGCTGCTGCCAGCTGAGGGTGGACCACCTGTGCTTGCAATGTCACTGAGCCCTTCAAGTCCTCGTCACTGTCTGCAGAGCTCACACCGCTGAAAATAGCACTCTTGTATGCTGTGTGGTGTAGATACCTTAACCGGTGTCTCAGAAAGTTTCATTTTATGTGTTCTGCTGAAACATAAATCTGCTGCAGCGAAATACTCAACAAGTACACACATCTGAACAGTTTATAAGATGCAACCATTTTCTCAGTAACCCATAGACATGTAAGGCAGCTAAAGGTGTTAGCAAACAAACATCGCAGATGGAGCTCAGACTTGCACTCACCTTACTCTGGATAAGTGACAGACTTTCCCCTCAGAAACCTCAGCGATGAAATGTGTAAACATGAAAAGGTTTCAAATAAAGCATCGTTGTTGAGAGCTTTTGAGTTTGACCTGACTGAAAAGTCTCTTTAGCATTGGGATGACGTTTTTACAGGTGAGTTAAGGTGGTTCTGTTTAGAGATGGTCCTGATTTCTGCTTCAAGTTTGTCTCCATCTGCACCAAATGTTCATGACCGCCACCTTCTGAGCTGAATCAGAGAGGTAAACTCAGCTCGTCTGCACCCCTCTCCACTATCAGTGTGTTGTCTGACTCTGTGTGTGAAGCATGATTGTTTTGGTTCACCGGAGAACATTTCTGAATTGGCGTGTCCCTCAGACGAGCAGGACACCTCCCAGGTCCTCTTCCGCTGCACGAGCGTGCATGCATTGACTCAGTCACACCTATCACAGTGCCTGGCCTTGTCTGAGTCCTAGAGTTTGCACCTATTAACAGACCCTTGAACTCCACACAACACACACACACACACACACACAGATGTACAAACAGCCTGAACCAACAGGTGTTTCCCCTATGACGTCCTACTTGTTGCCACTGAGTGTGTTTCTCGCCATAACTAACGGGACAACCTTCAAATCCTCACCAATTCTTAGGAAGCCTGTCGGATTCCCGGGAGCCAATGAGATGCCGGCGAGGCAGATGGACATGAGAGAGCCCCAATCAGATCCCACGCTTGGATCAAAGTAGGAGTTTATTCTGCTGCATGTCCCTTTTCGTTGGTTTGATGAATCTGGCCTATTTAGCCTTTCACCTGAGCCCCGATCTCCCCTTAATGAACTGTTTCAAACAAACAGGCCAAGATGGCCGCCCCCTCTGTCTCCTTAGTGGTGCATGCTTTAGCGTGGAGCATGGCATGATGGGAACACTTCTAGAGAAACAGAATCTAATTTTAAATGAGTTTTCCAACTAATATTGCAAACTGTTTTCGTTTTAATGCAGTTTCAGTATTTGGCATGTTGATTGTAATAAACAGACTTGTTATAATACTCGTTGCTCCGAGCCGGTTAGATTTAAACTAAAAAGAATTTTTTTTTTTTGCAGAAAAGAAAATTTTGCAATTTGGAAATTGTTTTATTTTTTATTAAATAAACTTTAATTCTCATCCAGTAGTTAAAAAAACCAACCAAGTTCAGCTTTAAATTCATAGTAAACATCTTAGATGAGGACTAATGTAATCAAACTTCCTCTCAGGAACATTTGGATCATTTTGTGTTCTCGCTAAACTAAAAGCTAATCTGTTAGATGGTGAGCTTATGAGTTAAATCAGTTATTACATCATTTATTACATCATCGTCTCCAGGCTGTAAAGCTTGACTGCACAGACTTAAGTGCTCATAAAGTCTTTGAAAGGATTTACTGATATTTGGTGAAATAAATCAATATTTATTTTTACCCACTTTTTAAAAAGTACCCACACTCCTCAAAATCTAACCTACAGCACATAATAACAATGTTTCTGCCCTAAATTTTTAATCCAAACACTGCAGGATGTAACTTATTACACCGTGTTATTCATTTAACAAGAATGAAGTTAAAGTGAAGGAGCAGTGAGTGGGAAACTGATTCAAAAGCTTGCAGAGGCACCAGTAGCAATGAGCTTGATGTCTTTTGCAAAGCCTTTTTTATGCTGTGGGACATGGGCCATTTGACAAAATTTCAAATAAATTGCAACAGCAGATACTGTTACAATTTGTTCTCACAGTTTCTTTCTGGGTCTCAATTTAGTTGCGAACATCTCTCAAATATTCATGAGAAACTAAACTGAGAAGGGCTTGAGACAGATTCTGGATACCTTCAGGACAATTTTGAGATCAAATTTTTTGTCCTGAGCAGCGATATAATGTAGGCCACATGAAAATACGGCAAAACAATTGTGACAGCAAATGTTTTGGTAACACGTTACAATAAGGATCACTTTATTAATGTTAGTGCATTATTAAGCACTAATAAACTAGTATTAACAACTGCTTAGTAATAATGGCAATATTAAGTAATGCATTATCAAGCAGATATTATGTCTACATTTAGTTGCAAACTTCTCCTACACTTTTTTCCACATTTGTGACTTTCTGATTTCTGAAAAATTGGCTTCTAAGGGTTCTACAACCCCCCAAGGCACTTCACAACGCAATCAGTCATTCACCCATTCACACACTGGTGGGAAAGAGCTACATGGTAGCCACAGCCGCCCAGGGTCACACTTAAAGAGGTGAGGCCTGCCGAACACTGGCGCCACCAGTCCCTCTGACCATCGCCAGGTTTAAGTGTTTTGCCCAAGGACACAACAGCAGATCCCTGGTCGGAGCCGGGATCGAACCTGCAACGTTCCGGTTATTGGACAACCCGCTCTACCTCCCGAACTACTGCTGTCCTGAAAAAAACACTACATTGAGAAGTGGTTGAGACAGGTTCAGGACATATTCAGGACTATTTTGAGAACAACATTTGTGACCATGTAATATGGGCCCTATGACAAAATCGCAAATTGTGACACCATATTTTATTTTGGTTGCAGTTTGTTCAGTCTCATTTTGTGTCTCAATTTAGTTGTGAACATCTCCTAAAGTTGCCTCACTGTTCTCACACTTTCTGGCTCATGATAAAAACTAAATTGAGGACGGTGTGAGACAGGTTCAGGAGTTTTTTTTATTTATTTATTTTTTAAATTTTCTTTTCTTAATATTTTGAATCTGTTTAAAAGTGACTAGACATACTCATACAAGGTGATGGAGAACCCTCTCAAACATTTAGAGATATTTTGGAAACTTCCTCATGAATGTTGTTTGCAAAATTATCACCAGCAGTTGCGGCTGAGCGAGCCACTATCAGGTAGTTAAGTTATTCAAATCTCAAATATTATCGTATCCGGTCCTTATTACTGAAGTTTTGAATTATTCTTTATTTTTTCACTTTCATAAGCCAACTTAAATCATCCTGAAATTCACTTTGCTGATATTCTCCTCATTAATTCTGTGTTAACACACGCCTGTATGCTCCAGAGCAACAAACTCCTGCTAATAATCACCTATCTACTACTAAACCAGTAGAACTTGTAAAGTTTTGTTTATTATAGGGGTAGAACTAGATTAAACAATTAATCTAATTAATTAGAGGCTTTGTAATTAATTAATCTCAATTAATCACATTTTAATCTTTCAGGAAAAGGTGCCCTCAAAGCAATTTTTAAATAAAGACAACTAGGCAGAGAATTGCACATTAGATATGGTTATTATTACTGTAAACTAAAGCTTTTTAATTTCTAAAAAATTTATTTTAAATGTCTCTTTGTGATTTAAAACAAAACCCAAATTAACTAAAATTTATAACACCTGCAGAGGGTTCCTGGCCCTTTATATTGTCTCTCTGTCTTGAATTACTGGAATAAATGGACTTTAAACCACATTCTTATTTTCCAGTTACACTTGTTTGTATAATTGGGTGTTTTAATTAGCATTTGTACTCATAATGTAGTAAAAGCTTATATATGAATAAAAGTCCTTAAAAATGACAGTAGAACAGGCACAAATATGATCTAGGACTTTAATTTACTAACTTTTAACACCAGAGCAGGTGTGACATACTCAGAGAATGATCAAGAACACTAACTGGTTCCAGTTAGATGACTGGAGGATGATGGGAAGATAAAAGACCATGGCGAGGAAATAATGATCTGACGAACAGGTGAGCAGACCTTCCTTACGGAGGAAGTCCCGCTGGCACGTTAAGAAGGGGATGGCTGCTGACCCACAGATTCATACCTGCAGCAGCAAATCTGGTGTGACCTCCAGCCTGATCACAACTTTCTCGTTCCTCGCTGCCCTGATGCACTTAAACATCCGCCCCTTAAGCTCCCGATAAGCTTTAGACCGTTTCGTGATGGTATGCATGCGATATTTAGACACTCACTTGTCTCAGAAACATATGATAAACTGACAGAATTGTTTAGAAAATTATCAGAAAGATTTTAGGTTGTTTCTGTCACTTTAAGACACATTGTTGGTGATTGTTTACAGAGGAGTGAGAACACGGAGCATTTTCCCAGTTGCAGCCAGGTGCCTCTTGTTTGCCTGACTAGTTTCATAAACTACTATTCTTGTCTGGTGCTTTCAGCGCTGCACAAACGTTAAATAAATGTTAAAAAAATAGCCTAGCTCGACTTTTGTAAAGCTTCCGGTGCCACCGGGCAGCAGCAGCAGAGACCATCTCTGAAAAATGTTCTCGACGCAGACGCCGTAATTGTCAGGAAGTAATTATTTTTTCGTACAAGTTACGAGAAGAGGCTGATGTGTTTCCTAAATCCTGCATCAGTCCAACCAAGGCAATTTCTTTCCATTTTTATTCCTTTTAGCAGCCGTAGACAGAGCACTGTGTTGTGTGTGTCAGTGATATTCAGTCTACGAGGAAATCCTGCAATGACAAAGATTCCGCCTTGCTTGAATTGCAAGCTGTGATTAAATGCGTGAATTTTTTTACATGTCTTTTTTTCTAACTAATTAATCATAATTAACGCGTTAAAGTTCCACCCCTACTTTATTTACATGCTGCTTGTAGCTTGTGACACAGTGGAATACGTCACATGGTCCCGTCTGAGGTCGTTTCTGTAACGCTTAAATAGTGCCCCACATATTGAACTTTTAGTACACTCAAAAAACAGTTTTCTGATCAGTATTCTGATTTGCTCACACTGCAGCGCAATTGTTTCCAATCAGTGTCTTTTTTTTAGCATGAACAGACTCAACATCATGTTAAAGACATTCAAATAAATTAAACTTTCTAATTCGAGAAGAGGCTACCCTTTTGTTTTCTAATCAATGTCCAACGGGAAAAAAAAGATTCTGATAAAATTTCAGAAATTAAAGAACACGTATTGTCCGTCTCTGGTGAGTATGAAAGAATTTTAAAAAGTAAGTGCTTGGAAGTCATGAATGGAGTGAAAACTTGCGTCTTTTTAAATGAAAACAACAGTGAAGACTGAATTCCTGAAAAGCTTTATTAAACACATCCTGTCTACCTGCAGCATCAGTGACCCTATAGTGTGTGTGTGTGTGTGTGTGTGTGTGTGTGTGTGTGTGTGTGTGTGTGTGTGTGTGTGTGTGTGTGTGTGTGTGTGTGTGTGTGTGTGTGTGTGTGTGTGTGTGTGTGTGTGTGGCAGAAGATGTGTGACTTGACACTTTGTTGGCTGTAGAGGCTCACTCTCTCCAGGTGGACCGCTGCATTTCAGAGAACACACGGACAGAGAAACACACACACACACACAGCTGGGAGGCTGGGGTGCTGGATATGGCCCAGCATTTTAGCAGATGGCCTGGGTGCTACGCTATCAGTCACCATAGTAACATGCTCTCTTTTTCCTCTTTCTCTCTGTCTTTCTCTCCTTGTCTGTAGTGCTAAGAGAAGGAAAATGGCAGACAAGATTCTTCCGCAAAGGGTGAGGCTGCATGTATTTTTCTTTGTTGTGTTTCTGTATCCTTTTACCTTTTGTCTGCAAAGCAGAAAGATCCTGGTCGCCTTTTCGATGCCCGGGGTCCTGAGGCGGCGCCAGGGGCCGGATGATAATTTGTTATTTCCAAAATAAGAAGGGATGGGTGGAGTGGAGAAGAGTTTTCAGGGTGTTTGTTGTTTAAAATTGAAGTGGTTGTTTGGGTGTGTCAAGAGATGCAGACATGAGTGGGATAGAAACAAGTCGCAGGTGAGTTGGTGGCGTTTGCAGGTTGTGATTTTCTTCCTGTAGCATCAGGTTTTTAACCGCATCCTGTAAGAGAGAGGGGTGAGTCTGCTGAGCTCTGGGCGTCTATGTTCAGGTCTTATCCTCTGACGTTACCCTGACAGAGAGATAGCAGCAGTCATGGCATGGGGTGGCACTCCACTACAATGAGTCAGGCATGGGGAATGTCTTCCACACTTCTCCGCCGGCTCGGCACCTCGGCCCGGTAAAGAGACGCAGATAGAGGAGGAATGAATGGAACAATGAAGGCAGGCTCTCAGGAAGAAAGATGAAAGAAGCTGGAGGGAGGGTGAGGAGCTGTAGGAGCAGTGTGCAGCAGCCCGCCATGCTTGGTGGACTTTCATCTGTATGGTAATGTTGGAGTCCTGGCTGTTTGTCTGCAAAAACTGAATCTCATTTTAATCCCCTCATGCCTGTTAAACACACACGACGGCTTCTACTAAAGCTTTTTATTTCCATGCAACCTCATTAAAGTGCTTTAAATGTGTGGGACACTTATTTAATCATTACATTTGCAGTGATCTATAGCAGGAATGAATGCTCTGTAAGTCCTGCTCGGTGGAGAAAAAAAGCACAGATGCGCCTGTTTCATGAACCACCAGAATGCCACATCAGTGGACAGCTTAACACGGCGGTATTTAGAGTCTTACTTCCTGATATTTGGACATCTCGCCTCTGATTGGCTAACAGCAACATGACTCTACCACTGTTTGCTTTGCAATGTGGATGTTTTATCTCCACAAATAACACAAGCCTGGAGGAGATCAGCTGTGTTGTGGAGTTGCTAATGCTAACAGTTAGCTTCTATCAGCCGAGGCGTTCTCTGCTGTTTCTTGGATGCTAAACCGCCAACAGCCTTCAATCTAAAAAAAAAATTCCTAATAACATCTGGCTGAATCTATCGCGATATATGTGGTATATCATGCCAGCAATACACATGCCTAGTCTCTCATTAAATTAGCTGCATACACATGCTTAACCTTACAACATGTTAGGGATTAAGTGCTAATTGCTGCTAATCTAGCCTATTAACACAGTTCAAGCACTCAATTTGACTACTTTAATTAAACGCCTGTCAAATCAGACTGATTATACATACATAGTTTATTGATTTGGATGCAAGATACTGATTGTCTACAAATATTACTGACACTTGCAGCTAAGCACTAAAGGTGTGTGATGTAAAGTTTATGACATTACTAAAAACTGCAAAGGTTTTATCTCTTTTTATCGTTTGATAAAAATAACTATTTTTACTGTAGTAACTAAGATGTGTTAGCTAATATGTGTTGAATATTTAAGCTAACACGAATCAGCTAACACACTCAATTTTTATTTTTAACGAAAAAATCTGACTTTTTCATTCCTGTTAGGTTCTGATTAAAATGTTCCTAAAGTGTCTTCCTTCCTGCGCAGATCCGTGAGCTGGTACCAGAATCTCAGGCCTACATGGATTTGCTAGCCTTTGAGCGCAAACTGGACCAGACAATCATGCGTAAACGCGTGGACATCCAGGAAGCGCTGAAGAGACCGATGAAGGTAAAACCAGAAGAAAAAGATCTGATCGGGATGGTGGAGTGGACCTCCTCGGGCGATTTCATACTAACCTGTTTTCTTTAATGTTCCATTTGTGTCAGCAGCAAAAGCGTAAATTAAGGCTCTATATTTCTAACACCTTCAACCCGGCTCGACCCGACGCGGACGACTCAGATGGCAGCATTGCATCATGGGAACTGAGAGTTGAGGGCAAGCTGCTGGAAGATGTGAGGATTTTCATGTATTCTCAGCAGGGTTTGAATAAAACACAGTCTTCTGGGGGAGCCCTTGGGCGGGGGGGTCGGGTGGGGGGCTGTTGTCCGTCCGATCACCTTCATTATTGCACCATCGGGGGAGGGGGGGGGGGCTAGATCACTTTTGAGGTTACCTCGGGATGTGTCAGTTGAGGGCTTCTGGGGGGGCCTATCACCTTTTCAGGGGAGCCGAGCTCCCCCTAGCTCCCCTGTGATTCGAACCCTGATTCTCAGACATTTTTAGTTAACTTTGGAGTTTTATTTCAGAGGGCACCGTCTACAGGAGGAAATGTGTATTGCACCACAAGCCCCTCTATTCTCGTGATCACAGCTAGAAGCAACACCTCTCGTTTGTTAAAGCGCACCTTTAGCTAGCCAACAGAGGTAAAACACAATTATTATTCTCTGCACCAGTCTAGGTACGTCGTCCAACTCATGCGCCCACTTGGTGATGGTGCATGTCTAACGCTTCAAATTGCATGGGGCTCTATGGACCGGGGGGGGGGGGGGGGGGGGGGGGGGCTGGCTACAGTGTAAAACTATCATTTTTTACAAATTTCTAAAAGATCATACGGTATATAATTCCTGAAGAGGGAAAACTCTGTATTGCTGCTTTAAAGAACTGGTTTTAGGAGTGTTTAGAGATGACAGTAATTAGTTCTGAGCCGTAGGAGCTGATGATGTCAGCAGCAAAGTGCGCAAAAGTTTCAGAAACCAAAAATATTTCAGGTTAGGTCCAGAGGAAGTGGGTTCTTTATACGTCTGCTCACTGTTTTAATGTGATCTCACTCAGCTGCTCGTGGTTTCTTACACCTTATGAAGCTAAAAACAAAGTGCATCTATTCATCTATATTTGTGAGTCCACCCACACGTGCACACAGCCGATCCTAACCCACCACCTCTCGTCTGTCCCAACAGCCCGGGAAGCAGAAGAAGAAGTTCTCCTCGTTTTTTAAGAGCTTGGTGATCGAGTTGGACAAAGATCTGTATGGGCCAGACAACCACCTGGTGGAGGTCTGCACAAACACCCCAACACTACTGCCACCCACCGCCTCAAAAATAAATAAATAAATAAAACACAAACTCACCTTCAAGCAGCATCTTTTGGGTGAATCTTTAACCCCGCTGGGTTAAAAGGTGACTCAAAATAAATCTGAGAGCTTCTTATTAACATTTTACCTCCATTTCAACGACGTCAGATCTAACGGACACTAAACTTTTCACAACACCTCTGTTTTTACCCCTCAAAGTGAAATATGAAAGCAGAGCGAGAAGGTGGTCAGTCTGACGGGGAGTCTAAAGGAAGTCAAGAAATAGTTCAGCTTATAACACCCTCCTAAAGCCGCAGCTTATTAGCTTTCCACTTCACTTAAAGTAAATGTGAAACAAATGACAGCTGGGTGTCTGTCTGGGCTCTCTTGACTGTTTTAAGGTAAAAAGGCTATTTTTGGTAGCTAGCCACCTTAAAATGTAGAATAAATCAGAATAAGATAACTTTTTATGTGTAAACAAAGCTTTTTTGGGAAAAAAGAGCCAAATTCTCCGTGTTTTCAAAAACTGATGCTACTTTTCGCCTGATTTTGACATTCTTCCTGAACAGTTTGTTCCGTTGCTAGTAAAGAGCTTTTCTCTGCTGCACAAATCACTAAAGCCGTTCAGTCAAGGTCGACGTCCCAACATTTTGTCTCGTCTGGCTAAATCTTCAGGAACACCGATCCCGCTTTGGCTGAACATGAAATTAAACAGAAACACGAGGCTGTTCAAACATGCTAATGAAGAAACCGGCTGCTTTATTTTAAACAACCAGCTGCTGCTCTTCACCTTACATAAAAATGTTCCGACGTGTTTTATGAAATCCACTTCAGGAGATTCGGAGTGTAAATCGCGTCCTCTCAGGGTTTCATCTTTTTAACCCAGCGCTCAGGTGCTTCGCTTTGAACCGTTTTCAATCAAAAGAATTCAGCTTTCCACCCTGAGACGCATTCAGGGTTTGATCTGTTGGGGAGCGTGTCAGCTGACACGGAAGGGACGGAAAATCCACACGTCAATGTTTCTGAAGATTTAAATAATAGGTGTTTTAGTTATTTAACACCTTGCTAGCTAATGTAAGCCAATAATATTTAAAATATGCAGTCTAATTTTGCACTCTGACTCCGGTTATTTAGCCAGGTGGTTAAACCTCTGCTCTCCTGAGGGTTTGCTTTCCGTGCATGGCTGCTTTGCAGATATTTAACCTTTCACCAAACACAGCGCTCCCTGTCAGCGCGGGCGCTCCACGCTCAAACGACCTCCTCCAGTGGTTTTATTTAGTCTGTGTTCAAGTCTTCTTATAAAAATACGATCATAATTAGACTCAAGATGCGTTTATTATCACCACTTAGTCAGTGCAGAATCAAATAATGTTTCTCTGAGGTGATCAAAGCATTGTAAAAAGGCAGTACTGAACATTAGCTTTTTAAAAAGCACAAGGGTTTCCAAACTGTGGACCATGGGCCAAGTGTGGCCCGTCAAGGGATTTTGTGTTGCCTCCAAATGCAACTCAAGAATAGTTTAACTTGATGCAGAGAAACACTGTTTGACCCTTTAAGTGCAGTTCACTTGTTTTAGCAGCACATTAGCAGTGGTCTCTAGCAGGAATACAGGTGCTGGCCAGTAAATTAGAATATCATCAAAAGGTTGAAAATATTTCAGTAATTCCATTCAAAACGTGAAACTTGTACATTATATTCATGCAATGCACACAGACCAATGTATTTCCAATGTTCATTACATTTAAATTTGATATTCATAAGTGACAACTAATGAAAACTCCAAATTTGGTATCTCAAAAAATTAGAATATTCTGAAAAGGCTGAATATAGAAGACACCTGCTGCCACTCTAATCAGCTGATTTACTCAAAACACCTGCAAAGGCCTTTAAAAGGTCCCTCAGTCTTGTTTTGAAGGCACCACAATCATGGGGAAGACTTCTGACTTAACAGCTGTCCAAAAGACAATCATTGACACCTTGCACAAGGAGGGCAAGACACAAAAGGTGATTGCTAAAGAAGCTGGCTGTTCGCAGAGCTCTGTGTCCAAGCACATTAACAGACAGGCGAAGGGACGGAAAAAATGTGGTAGAAAAAAGTGTACAAGCTCTAGGGATAACCGCACCCTGCAGAGAATTGTGACGACAAACCCATTCAAAAATGTGGGGGAGATCCACAAAGAGTGGACTGCAGCTGGAGTCAGCGCTTCAAGAACCACCACGAGGAGACTCATGAAAGACATGGGATTCAGGTGTCGCATTCCGTGTGTCAAGCCACTCTTGAACAAGAAACAGCGCAAGAAGCGTCTCGCCTGGGCCAAGGACAAAAAGGACTGGACTGATGCTGAGTGGTCCAAAGTTATGTTTTCTGATGAAAGCAAGTTCTGCATTTCCTTTGGAAATCAAGGACCCAGAGTCTGGAGGAAGAGCGGAGAAGCACAGAATCCACGTTGCATGAGGTCCAGTGTAAAGTTTCCACCGTCAGTGATGGTGTGGGGTGCCATGTCATCTGCCGGTGTTGGCCCACTCTGTTTCCTGAGGTCCAGGGTCAATGCAGCCGTCTACCAGGAAGTTTTAGAGCACTTCATGCTTCCTGCTGCTGACCAACTTTATGGGGATGCAGACTTCACCTTTCAACAGGACTTGGCACCTGCACACAGTGCCAAAACCACCAGCACCTGGTTCAAGGACCATGGTATCCCTGTCCTTGATTGGCCAGCAAACTCGCCTGACCTTAACCCCTAGAAAATCTATGGGGTATTGTGAAGCGGAGGATGCAATACGCTAGACCCAACAATGCAGAGGAGCTGAAGACGACTATCAGAGCAACCTGGGCTCTCATAACACCTGAGCAGTGCCACAGACTGATCGAGTCCATGCCACGCCGCATTACTGCAGTTATTGAGGCAAAAGGAGCCCCGACTAAGTATTGAGTGCTATACATGCACATTCTTTTCATGTTCATTCTTTTCAGTTGGCCAACATTAGAGAAACAAACATTTTTTCATTGGCCTTTAGAATATTCTAATTTTCTGAGATACCAGATTTGATGTTTTCATTGGTTGTCACCTATAAATATCAAATTTAAATGTAATGAACATTGGAAATACATTGGTCTGTGTGCATTGCATGAATATAATGTACAAGTTTCACGTTTTGAATGGAATTACTGAAATATTTTCAACCTTTTGATGATATTCTAATTTACTGGCCAGCACCTGTAGATGCTTTGTAAGTTGTTCTCGGGGTGAAAAAATCTACCAGTGCTCCATTTCTTACTAAAAGTTGTTTGGAGTCTAATTTTCTGATATTTGGACTCTACCACTGACTTGCAACATGGATGTTTCATCTCCACAAATCACACAATTTGAAGGTGTTCTGCCGTGTGGTGAAGTTGCTATTGCTAACAGTTAGCTTCTACTAGCCAAGACGTCTGATGCCGATTCCCGAATGTTAAAACAACAGCCTTCCCCGTCGTGAGCCAAGATGGGTGAGTCCATGAATGTTAAGAGACAGTGTGACGTAGATCTTTGAGGATTTTCAAATCCTAGAGTTTCACCGTCTGTTCTTTATCAGAAGCAAATGCAGGAGATCAGTGTAGGAGACTATTTTCATGTTCAGCCAGCATTATAAAAACTCAGAGTGACCGATTATAATCAGGAATAATCATAACTTTTTTTTTCAATGAACCACTCCTTTAAAGACCAAGTTCACTGAGAAAATTTTTTGTACTTTTTATCTTTGAAATGTGAGCAGGCTAAACGTGGTCGTCCACCCCTACTTCCTGCATTAGCCACCGATACAAAATAAAAACTGTCAATTAGAAAAATCAGTCAAATCTACGTAAAACTGTCACTTAACATTCATGGACTCACCCATCTTTGCTTGCAGCGGGGAAGGCTGTTGTTTATTCGTTTAGCATCGAGTAAACAAAAACGCGTGTTTCGGCTAGTAGAAGCTAACTGTTAGCATTAGCAACTCCACCAAACACTAGAACTCATCCAGGCTCTTTTTTAAGAGATCAAACATCAATGTCGCAGAGTAAATGGATTCAGTGGGAAAGTCGTGTTGCTGTTAGCCAATCAGAGGCAAGATATCTGAATATCAGGAAATAGGAGTCCAGATGCTGCCGTTTTCCACTCACCTCTCCTCTGGTTCACTTCTAGTTTCTGAAACAGGAGCACCAGAGTTTTTCTACAGAGATCGACTCACAACGCATTTATTTGTACTAGAAACCATCCTTGTAAATGAAAGCCTAAACCATCTCAGACATTTATTAAAAGTTAGATTCATGAGCTCCATGTAGCCAATACCACTTGACCAAATGCAGCAAACATCCCTGAAGAAACAGTACTTGGATCCATTCTTGTTGCTGATTATGTTTTTTCATTCCAAACAAAGGTGAAGTGCTTTTAAACTGCCCTGAGTGCTCTGAGTCACTCCTCCATCCTGGGGCCTTTGATTCACCCAAGAGAAGTTTTGATCACATTCCTAAAGGTTTTAATTGCTCAGAAACATTTCCGGGATTCGGTTCAAAGATACGTTCTAAGGACTGGAATATAGAAAGATATAAAAGCTTGGGAATTTGCCCTTTTCTCTTTGAATGGAGGAAGTTGCTCAGTTAAGGAGCAACACAAATGTTAGATTAAGCAGAGGTCTTAGAGGACGTCAAGCAGATTTCCAACAGCAACTAATACCAATAAATCAAAGGACAAGTAACCGAAGTAGAAACTTCATAGTCGAAGCAGAAAAAAGCACGACTGTGTGTTCTGCTTGCTCCCTCAGTGGCATCGCACCCCCACCACCCAGGAGACAGATGGCTTCCAGGTGAAGCGACCAGGAGACGTGAGCGTACGTTGCACTCTGCTGCTGATGCTGGACTACCAGGTAAGGGCGCCATGGAGGTGCTACCAATCACCGCTTTCAGGAACGATGGGAATATGCAACGTGGTGAAGTGGATGTTCCAATCTGGTAAGTTCTAACGAGATCTGTGTTATCTCTGCAGCCTCCCCAGTTCAAACTGGACCTACGTCTTGCTCGTCTGCTTGGCATTCACACTCAGACCCGCTCCTGCATCATCCAGGCGCTCTGGCAGTATGTCAAGACCAACAAGCTGCAGGACTCGCACGACAAGGAGTACATCAACTGTGACAAATACTTCCAACAGGTACAATACCATTGAAGATGGGAATATGGGAAATGTATCTGTTATGACTTTTATCCTTTAAATATTTGCAACAAATGTGGTTCAAAATGCTAGCATGGAATCTACTGGCCTGCCTATGAGATACCCGAGTGGTTATCAGGGATGCCTCGATCGAGACCCTGATCTGATACTTGAGATCCAGTCTGGTCCAATCAAGAAACTACTTAGTATGGCTGCTCTCAGCTCCTGATCTCTAGTGTTGACTCACTCTCTATAGCTTCAAATGAGAGAACCCTTTCCTCTGGGACTCAAAAAGACTAAAAATCACTGAAATCTTGTGATATTAAAGTAAAATCTCTAAGCTGGTTTCACTTTTACTCTTCTTAATGTAGAAAAGAAGTTTAGATTAGTCCACTGTTGCTCATCTTCCTGTATTTTCAATGTTTGTTTTAGCTCCAGACACGTAGTTAAAGCTGTGAAACGCGGTTTCTAAACATTGTTGGCCAGTTTAGTAGAACAAACCCCGTGATCTGTGTGGATAAACTGTCTCCCTACACCGTGACCCTCTACAGAAACTAACATTGACGCTGATATTGATAAAAACTCTTAAACGGGACATCCCTAAGGTTAATTTATTATTAACAACGTTGTTTTTTTTTCTGTTACTTCAGATCTTTGACTGTCCTCGCCTGAAGTTCTCCGAGATCCCCCAGCGCCTCACCAACCTCCTTCTGCCGCCTGACCCCATCGTCATCAACCACGTCATCAGGTACTTCCTGTTTGCTGTAAATACTCGTCACAGAGCAGTTCGACATTTAGTTCAAGGAAGCGAGCGATGCTTCTATAAAGTGAAACGTTTGTCTGCTCAGCGTGGACCCCAACGACCAGAAGAAGACGGCCTGCTATGACATCGACGTGGAGGTTGAAGATCCCCTGAAGAGCCAGATGAGCAGCTTCCTGCTCTCCACTGCCAACCAGCAGGAAATCGCCTCACTGGACAACAAGGTTTGATGTCTAGTCATCTAATTCAGCATTCAAAGCTTTTAGTAACAAGCAGAGGACAGTGTTGCTTTGAAATCCACAAGCAGGAGTTTTATTTTGACGTTCAGCTGTGACCTCGTAGATCCACGAAACCATCGAGTCCATTAATCAGCTGAAGATCCAACGAGACTTCATGCTCAGCTTCTCCAGAGATCCCAAAGGCTACATCCAAGACTGGCTCAAATCCCAGAGCCGGGACCTTAAGGTTTAATAATCTCACACACACACACACACACACACATGCACAAGCCACCCCCCCCACCCCTTCACCCCACACAGGAAAGGTTGTTCATAGCTTTTTAAATGTAAAAATAGGACACAGACACCCTCTAGCTCCCTCTAGAGGCTAGAATTTGATCATTTTTCTCGTCGGCTGCAGCTGATGACCGACGTTGTCGGGAACCCCGAGGAGGAACGGAGGGCAGCATTCTACCATGAGCCCTGGTCCCAGGAGGCCGTCAGCCGTTATTTCTACTGCAAGGTGGGCAAAGTGCATCTCAGCATTTAGAGAAGATAGAAATCCTCTGCATCTGTCTTCTTGTCTGTAAACTCATCATTTTCTGCCTTGCCTTCAGATCCAGCAGAGGAGACAGGAGCTGGAACAGGCCTTAGCGGTCCGCAACACCTAAACAGAGGCCCACCTGGACTTCTGGGCTGAGTGTGTCAGGATGTGTGTGTGTGTGAGAGATTTTCTAACCAGTGTTTTAAAGTTAAAGGTTTATTGGTGGGAGATCTCGTTGCACTTCATCCACGTCCCGTTCTTTTATCTTGTTTGTGAGGAATCACTCGGAAACCGTCGTCCGTCTGAGCTTCTGGTTTTGAGCGAGTCCTCATCTGTTACCGTTTGTGGTGTTACGATTCAAAGCGTTACTGTGTGCGTTTTTTTTGTTTTTTATTTTTGATGGGTTCATGAATTACCACCAGCAACTAGTTTCTGTAAGAAAATGCTCTGATTTGTCCAACTTGAGTTTCTAAAGCCTGAGTCATGCGTCTGCGTCAGTGCGGAGACACGCAATGCCATTATCCGTCCTTGCGGGCCTGCTGGAGAGCCCCCGCAAGGACTGACAGAGTCGAGCTCTCTTTTCTAAACATCCGTCTGTCGAGATGGAGAACGCAAGTTTGTGATTGGTCAGGGCACCGCTGTTGTCTACACCACCGCCATTGCGCCCTCAAAAACATAAACAGAGCTGAGGATAACTAGCAGCAGACACGGAGAAGCTTGAAGAATACCTCATGAAAAAAACTCTAAAAACATGAATGTTTAATTCTCCCGTGACTGGAGGAGTGAAAAGATACGCAGCAGGCGTTTTATTTGTGGACGGAAATGACAGGAAACGTGGGTTTAGAGGTGGCGAGCGCATGAAGCGGTGTTAAAAAGTCTCTTATACACAAAAACACAATATAACACACTATCTTGGACCGGATACGACAGGATACCACAGAACAGCAATACGCCCTCTGGTGTCCTGGCGGGGAATTGCTTTGCAACACTCTCCAGGAGATGGAGAAGTATGAGGGCAAAACATCTCCATCTGTGCGTGTGCGTCTCTCCCTTTTGGAGCTGACGGAGAAGCATGACTCAGGCTTAAAGCTGCGTTTTAACGAAGAGGAACTGAACTTTTGCTCCCTGAACCCAAATGCGCCTCTGAGCTGATCTTTCCCTCTCACATCCTCTTGCTAATGTTCTGAAGGCGTTACCAAAGGCTGCAACGAGAAGAAAACAAAAGAAAAACGGTAGAACTCCATTTTATGTTTCACACAAAAATGAGATTTTAAAAGTTTCTTTTCTAGAGATGTGAATGTAAATATGTTGTTTTGTCTCCTTAAGAAGGCCAGCTGTACAGTATACATCTATGTGTGTTTGTTTGTTTGTTTTTTTTGGGGGGGGGGTGAGTTGGGAACTTCATGAGTTTTGAATCAGTCGGGCAGGAATGTTAGCGTTCCTCTGTGTGCTGTCCTGGCTGTGGGGCGGTTTATTTTGGGTCCGTCCCGTGTCTGTCGTGGGAGAAAGCGACCTCCCTCCCTCTCCGTAGCTGTAGACCATGATAATCTATACCAGTCTCCTTTTTTTTTTTTTTTTTTACAACATTTGACTTGTATGTATATGTTGTACTCCTTTTTTTTCTAGATCGGAAACCTTTTGGGGTTTCTTTGCACTGTGCTGTAACCGTCGGGACTCTCCTTTATTAGCCCCACTAAAGTGATTCCACGAAGACCTATGCATGCTCCATGAACATGGACTCAAACATGATGGGACAGTAAAGTGTAAATATTTTTGGGAAAAAAAAAAAAAAATAAAAAGGCAGGCATGGATGTGTGCTGAGGGCAGGAGTCCACGCATTAGTTCAAATGCCTTTTGGACACATTTCTTTAGCCAAAAATAACACGTCCTACCAGCGAGCTAACTGTAGGTGTGATTCTGTTACTGGGACTAAGTTCAACTAAATGCACTCTAGTCATGTTTCTCTGCACGGCCAGAACTTCCTGTTGTCACTGAATCACTAGCACCCTCTTGTGGAGGACAGTGGAGCTGCAGCTCTGCCTCAAAATCACTACTGTGTCTTTTTTTGTTACTGTTAACATGTTTGTCTGGATTCTTGCATGTTTGTCAAGAGCGGGAGCTCCTCTTCCTCTCTGTTTACACCGAGGGTCACCGACGGGAGGGATCCAAGGGCACACGAGCATCTCTGAAGGCTTTGATGAAGGGAAAACAGCTGTGACTTTATGAGACAGTCTGGATGTAAATAAAGAAGCGCTTGCCAAAGTTTGTAAAAGCCACTTCATCTGAGTTTTTTTTTTCTCTTTTCCACAAAATTTACTTTATGTTGACAATTAATATTATCCTGTTTCGCGTTTTATTGCATGGATTTTGATGTCTGCAGACGAATCAGACATGAATTTGAGTCACTGGCTCTAAACGTGGAAAGTTGAGATACTAAAGAAATATTTTATGTACTATGATAAAATTTAATGCTTGTCTCTCTCGTGCAGCTTTAAAAATTTTGCAAGTCTTTTCAAAAGCAACACAAATTCACTCTTCGAGAAAATATTTAGAGTGAAAGTTTTCCCATCAGTGTGTAAAATGTGATTTGTGTTTTGCTTAAATGGAAAGACTCAGTTTAAAGGAGCATGAAGTGAGTGACACCCTGTGGTCAACTCTTCGCTTCCAGAAGGCCTCAGACTCCACAGTTCAGATTGGGCCAGACAGGAAGTCAAACACAAAAGCTGTGTAAAACATCTGGAAACTGGAAGCAGGCCAGGCTCATGAAACATTAGGGGAAACTACATGCTGCTGTCTTTCTCCTCGTTTGTGTGAACTGTTGAAATCACACTTGATGTTGCGTTTCTCCTGTGAGGCCCTATGTATGGAACGCCTTTGCTGTTTAGTTTTGCGTCTGAAACGCTCCCGGCAGGAAGGGAACTCTTGGGCAAAATGCATCTATTATTGTAATGCAACACGCATTAAATGGAAAGGCTGGGTAAGGGTTACAAGTACTAGTTAATATACTTTGGGGTTTTAAAAGGAGAAGATCTGGCAACCCCCAGCCGATTGAGAAGGAAATCTGTTTTCATGTAACCCTTCCAACATGACTGAGACTTCACTGTTTTTGTGATTATTTCACTGAAAAAGTCTTATTTTAACTTTAAATCACTTGATATGACTTATTGTAGTTTTTTGTCCAATAGAGAACCAAGAAACTATTGGAACAGCAGTAGCTCAGCAGGTAGAGTGGGTTGTCCAATAATCAAAACGTTGCAGGTTTGATGCTGCTGTTGTGTCTTTGGGCAAGACACTTAACCTACCTTGCCTGCTGGACCGGTGGCGACTTGCTTCTATCAGTGCACCCCAGGGCAGCTGTGGCTACATCATGGCTCATCCCCACCAGTGGGTGCTTTACAAATACAGGCCATTATTACCACAGATTCAATACTCCAAGGAGCACATCTACACCAGAAACAAGGGCGAGATCTAATTACAACTTAACTACAAGTAAAAACCCAGAAATATTGAATAATATAAAAACTTAATTTCTCTTAAGGTTAACATGTTGAAATAAGAGCAGCATTTTACCATTTTCTGTTCAAAGTTACATTTTCACTAATTATTTAGGATCTAATCTTAAGTTGCATCTAAATGCTGAGATCTGCAGATGCAGAGATCCTAACACTTTTTCCCAGTAAACCCGGTCTTTAGACATGGAAAGTATTTGTTCTGCTGTTTGCACTGACCTCTCTCCAGAAGAGTGAAATGTTAAATTTGAGCTGCCGTTGGTTGGTGGGTTATGATTTCTGCCCGAGAACAGGCAGCAACAAGCATGTTATTGTTCAGATCTGACCACAGGGCAGCAGGTGGAGGCCCTGGTTTCCACTGGGCTGCAGTATCACCTCCTCAGAAAGAACCTCTTTCACTCTGCTGCTGCTCTGTTGTGAGCACCACACACCCCCCTCTACATGGAGGTGTTTCATGGGTGAGGGAGGGGGGCAGTCTCCTAAAGCGAGGCATTCAGCCAGCTCTGCCAACCCTCTGTCGGGTTACGTGGACTCGACCCTCCGTCTGGGCACTGGGTTCACTTCTCACCCCATCTCTGCAGATTTGCCAACGCCTCCGGGAGGCCCGGGCAGGGATGGAGATCTCCTGGCTTAATGCAAGGAGACGAGGCGGGGCGAGCAGCCGAGGAACAAACTGTTCACTGCCTTTAGGCCCTGCAGCAGCTGAATGTGAGCGGAAAGCCCACGACGCTCAGATATCTCTGGGAGTAGAAGGTGGCTCACGCCGTGAGGATCCTGTAAACTAGTCTGGAGCTCTTTTACACGCCGAGCAGCATGAATGAAGACGCCACTCCTGATTGGAAGCACTTTTAATAGAAAAAGAAAAGGCAGCTTGTTCCAGCATTATTATCATCTTCACAAAGAAGACCGATGGCTCAAGTTTAATAATATTAACAATGAAAGGCGTTTTTGTTTTACCCACACACACATCAGCCAATTTAAAACATGAATACTGTCTCACATTCTGTCAAAGAAGGTCACGAGTAACAGCGTGCCCGTTTTAGGAGTGACATCACCATGACTCATAATTCGTCCCGTTTACGTTTCCTTGACAACGGATAACTCCAGCTGTAGGAACCCACGATGAGTCATCTGTGCTTGGTTAACCAGGCGCGGCCCGTCCCCAGAGCTGCTGGGCGGTTCTACGTGCTGTTGGCCTGATCCTGCTCAAACAGAGCCATGGCCAGGTGTGAGCGTGACCCCAGACTCTCCAGGTTACTGAGGACACAGCGGTGGTACACGTCCTCGCTGAAACGAGGGTTGCACGCTCGTCGTACGTACTTCTGGATCAGCGCCGGCTCCACCGCCCTGAACACGTGCAAGCCCGAGTAGCGCACAAAAATGTCATAGACGTCCATACTCTCCAGCAGCTCCTCGTTGTCTAAAATATCGGCTGCCATTTTGGTCCGAGCGCTCATGTAGTCTGCGTTGTACAAGCAGGCCTCATCGAAGACGTGGCGGTCAAAGTGTCCGTCCCTCAGGGACTCGGAGGTGGAGGATGAGGCGGAGGGCTGCTGGTCGCGGTACATGACCGCCGGGTTGTACTCCTGGAAGTGGATAGGGAAGAAAACCTGCCAGTTGCTGATGGCGTTCATTCTGCAGCGGTTCAGGAAGTCAGAGTTGACCTCCGTCCAAACGCTGGCCAGGAAAAACAGCGTGTCAACAGGATGCTTCTTGGAGATGATGTCCATCAGCTTGACCTGTGAGGGTACCTCGGTCTTGACGCTGATCCAGGGGATCTTCACGTCTCCGTAGCGTTTCTCCACCTCCCCGATCATGGACTTCACACCAGCAAACACGTCCATCTGGCTGACTCTCTGAGCGTCGAAAGGATCGTAGATGAACAGGAAGGTCAGTAAAACGTTGTCGTGCGTGTCCAGCGTGTTCATCACGTACATGTCCAGGAAGTTACCAACAAAGTCCTGGTCCTGGGCGGTAATCGGCAGGATGACCTGCACCCGCGTTGCCTCCGTTACATACGGCATGGGAATGATCTCGACTGCGCTGAGAGGTCGCAGCAGATTGACTCGCTTGGCGATGACCTGGCTGTGGCCTTTTTGGGTGAAAGCCTCCAGAGCGAGGTCCAGAATGTACTCCATGCCACGAGTGGGATCAAAGCGCCGATACCCGTTGAGTAAGCGCCGTTTTCGGAAGCGAAGCTGTGGCTGGTAGCGCTCATTCAGTCCCTCCACGGCGATCTCCAGTATGGCGCCGACGTCGGCTCTGTCCGCCCCTCTCATCTCGCACTTGGGCGAGCCGTCGATGCAGGTGTAGATGTGCTCCTCTGTGAAATAATCCCAGTTTATGACCTCGAAGCGGGTCTTGGGTTTGAAGGGAGGGTTGATTCCTATCGGCCATGTGACCCCAGCCTTGCCCTCTGGCGTAAGGTCACTCAGGTTACTCATCTGCATCTGATACAAGCACAAAACATCCGTCAGTCAGTTTATCACACATCAGGCTGGAGCAACTCTGCAAAACCCAACTTGTGCTGCCACATTTTTTTTTACATCTTCTGGAATCCTTCAAACAAGTCATTCTTGCTCCATCTTTTTCTAGTTTTCCTGTTATGAAATGTTACCTTTAAGCAATAATTCAGGTTTGTAGAGTCTGCAAAGGAGGTTGTAGGTTTTTATGCAGTTTCTCTGGACATTTCATCGACGACGGTCAGCTTGATACGTTAAACTCTAAACCTGGCAGAGGGTGGACTCTCTTTAAACTGGACATAACGGCAACAAGCCATGTTTGAGTAATCTACTAAAGCATATTTTAACAGCATGCTGAGAATTAGACAGTCCTGGTACATGTCCCAACAGAGCACCTGTAACTAGGTTATTTTCAGCATGTATAAATAATGCATCAGCCAGGTGTTTCTACCCAGGAGCATAAAGTGCTTTACAGGGTATCTGCAGGTTTAAGGGAGCCAAATTTAAGACTTGTTAAGACCTTTTTTAAGGCCACTTTGACCAAATTTAAGCTCGTTGTCGTCTTCCTCCGCTAATCCGGGTCCGGGTCACGGGGGCAGCATACCAACTAGGGAGCACCAGACCGTGCTCTCGCCGGCCACCTCCACCAGTTCCTCCAGCAGGACCCCAAGGTGTTCCCGGACCAGATTGGAGATGTAACCTCTCCAACGTGTCCTGGGTCGATCCGGGGGCCTCCTGCCAGCAGGACATGCCTGAAACACCTCCCCAGGGAGGCGTCCAGGAGGCATCCTGACCAGACGCCCAAACCACCTCAACTGACTCCTTTCGATCCAGATCCAAATTTAAGCTATTTTTTAAATTAAATTTAAGCTATAATTTACAGCTATTGCCTGGAACCAGTGCTAACCACGTCGCGAACGTGGGATTAACCATCCATTTACCATTAAACTTGCACTTCTCTATGGCGCAAGCTCCCACTAGCTTAACCAGCTAATGTGCTCATCTAAAAATAGTCCCCTTTCACAACCAACTGAATGTGTACGGTTCCGCTTACGTCAACACCATACACAAAAAATGCTGAAGACTAACTAGAAATTCACAAAAATGTCATAGAAATAAAATAATCTAGTTTATTGGGTCTTTGGTAATTTAAGACCTTTGGAAACTGTATTTAAGGATTATTTGTCATTTTTAAGGATTTTCAAGGCTTTAAATTTGGAAAAGTAAATTTAAGACTTTTTAAGGACCCTCGGATACCCTGGCTTTAGGTGGAATAAAACCAAACAGCAGAGGTGAAATAGACATTTGGTGCAAAGTTCTTGGTAAAGAATGGTAAACCTGGAGCTCCTGAATCTGCTGGTACGTCCGTTCCAGCTCAATGTGGCTGAAACGTTTATGCAGACGGTACATGAGGTTCGGGTCTGATACAGGATGAACCGTGAAGGCGTTTTTGAACTCTGCGCTCTCTTCACGCTCTGGATCAGCGTTCTTCTGAAGCTCAAAGTAACGGTACGTCATCCCCTGTGAGCAGCAAGAGTGAACAAGCTCAGCAGGGAAACTGGACATTCTGAACGTGTTTCATAAACAAGTTTGTTGTTGTTACCTGATGCATCTCCACGCAACTCAGACCCAAGTAGTCGATAATGCAGCGGCCCAGCCACTCGTCGGGTCTCACGCTGAGGATGTCGTTACGACAGGTGTCGAGGTGCGGCTGCAGACGGGCCAGCAGGCTGCGGGACAGCAGGTAGCCGTAACCACCGTGGCAGTACCGCGCCTTCTCTTCCCCTCCAATAAACTCCTCCGCCCTGCCCATGTACAGGTCCTGACCTGAACTCAGGTGACCCACCAGCTCCGAAAGACGATCCGCCTGCATGTAAGTGTCGTCCTGGGCCAGCAGGAACCAGTCGTAGTCAGAACCGTGGTGCTGATGGAGGTGGCGCACCGTCTCGTACATCAGCCACACGGGCCGGTCGTCACCGTGGGCAATCACAGTCATGCCATGAGGCACTTTGGGGCTCCGCAGTCCTGTGAAGAAAAAGGTCCGGTGGAAGCGGTGGGCGACGGTTCGGTTTACCGCCACGGCTAGTGTGTTGAGGGTGGCCCGGGATGTCAGCACGCCCACCAGCAGTCGTTCTCTTATGCCCAGTTCAGTGTGGATGTATCGAGTTCTGGATCAGAGGAGACGGATCAGAGCATTAAAAGACAAGTTTCTTTCTGATGATGTGCAGCATGGAGCTCTGACTCTGTAACAAGACTGTACATCCCACCCAGGAAGCCTATTAAGTTAAGAATAAACAACCGTAAACCCCCCATTTCTTATAAATAAGCCTGATTTATTTAGTGACAAGTCCCTTTAACCCTAACCCTTAATATCAACCAGTAGAGTGCAGCTGCTGACCATAAGGTGCTGGGAAAATGTACGACAGACTTTATTAAATTTTTTTTTTAAGTTTGTGTCACACCAATGGTCAAACATGGTGGTGGTAGTGTGATGGTATGTGGCTCCTTAACTGCTTCAGGACCTGGGACCACAAATTCTGCTCTAGCAGAAAATCCTGAAGGAGAACATCTGACCTTTGACCTTAATGCTGGAAGATGTCTTCACTTTGGGACTGGTTGGTTTTGATCCCCTTTTACGTCAATAAATCATTGTTTGAAAACAGAATTAGGTTTTTACAAGGGTTATCTGATCGTTGATCTGAAACATTCAGGTGTACCTTTATTCCACAGCCATGGCTCTTACCTAAGGACCTTCCTGTATGGTTTGTTAGGATCCTTGTGATAAGGTATTATCCGTGGCTGGAAGTCTTCCTCCCCAGCTCCATTCCTTTGGTCTCTCTGGACATCTCTACCCAGGAAGAGGCTGCCTTTATTCAGATCATCTCTGCAGGGATCATCCGTGTCTCCTTGAGTCCAGGACACCATCAAAAGGCTCAGACTGCATCCCAGAGACAGCCCCAGGAGCAGGGGCAAAGCAGGCCTGAACAAGGCCAAAAACGACGAGACACGCATGTCTGCCTGTTAGGAGCTAAAAGTGCCAACTCCAAACATTTTAACCAAACATTTGGTGAAGAAACCAGAGGGAGGAGGCTTGAAATGTTCGAAAACCTGCATTAATCACAGCTTCTTCTCTTGGTCTCTTTTTTAAATAAGAGTTTAAACCAGTGAGACGAAAATCCAGATCTTGTTTTAATGAATACTATTAATTAAGCTAGCGGTATGCAAAACTTTGCTGTGAAAACATTTGCATAGCATCACTGGAGTCTTAACGGTTCTCTAAAACCCTAAATTAGTTAGTTTGGTTATTCATTAACTAGTAGTCTGTGTGTCGTTCCTGTGTATTCGCTCCTGCTGTGTTAATTACCTGGATTATTATTTTATTGGCTAACAGCAACTTACAAAGTCAGCTAACTAAAACGTAGCTGAAAGGTTGCCTTCAGGATGGCTGGCATTTATGTTAATCTCCTTTGGTACCGTTAACAATACGTAACAAGTCTCCAGAGTGTAAACGTCGTAAATGAAGAGATAGCCTGTGTTATAGTCTCGAAGGATTCAAGGAACAAACATCAAAGAGGAAGCTAGCGAGTTAGCATCGCGACCGACCGTTGCTTTTCAACGCAGACGCGACGATCCACATCCGTGAGCACAGGCGTGAAGGTCCCATATTTGATGGCCTATAGGGGTAAAAGCCATTATGTGAATCAAAACAAGTGTCCTCCTAGTTGCTAGTTTGTCCACTTCCTCAAAAACAGAGTGTCACACACATACAGGGAGTGTGGAAACAGCGTTCCTCATTTCGTTTTCAGCCCCATCATTAGTAACAGGCTTCACTGCGGGCTGCGTTCCATTTATACACCAGCAGACAAAACGGCACAGACTTAGGCGGAGTTTACGTCCCAGCGAGTGTTAAACGGTGTGACAGGCATACACTCGTTTAGACTTTGTAACTGATGAAAAACAAAACAAAACTTGTTTCGATGCCAGTGTTTAAATGTAATGAATAAAGTCGGTAAATCTGCTGTTAATGAAAAAGCACAGGTTCTTGAAGTTCTTCTATAACAAGTATCCTCCGCTACTTTAGTGTTTCACTTTTATTTTGTCAACTGTTACGGATCTGACAAGTCGTTCGTTCTCAACACAAGGTGACACCGCCCACACTCGTGTCACCTGAAATGAAGAGAAGAAATCCTCCCACGTTGCCTTCAGTTGCCTATGATCACTTCTAGCCGGTTCACAAGACGGCTGGCTAAAAAGAAACATACCCACTGACTGATGCACCGCTGCAGCAGCAGCATCCCCTCTGTAGGAGAGTTCAGTTTTTGCATTGAGTTTTGTCATTTTCCTACTTTTTATTTGAATGGGTTAAATGACAGCTATGGAAAGTTGTGGAAGGAGCTGTCAGCATGTTTGGCTGTATGGGGGAAACATGCAGACACTATCTGGACTGCCTCGTTTACATAAAAGGGGAGTTCAGCATGGCTAATTTTTGTACTGTAAAGACATGACAACCAGTCATTTTGTCTAAAAAAATACAAACATTTATGCATATGATTAGTTTTTTCTGTTATGCTTAATTTGACTCCAATCCAGATAATGCAAAGATTGCATTCCTCTCTTCAAACACTTAGATAGCGTTTCTATGTAATAATTGGTTGGCTTTTACTTAAAAGTTAAAAATGACCAAATCCTATAATCAAACATGGTTGTTTATTAGCACAATTATCAGCAGTTAGTAGTGTTTAGTCCTCTCCTATCTAAAGAAATGCATTGCAAGAAGGGTTGTGATCTCATCACATTTTTATTGAGCAAAATTAAAGCATCTTAAGCAGCATCAGGAATTTATAGATTAAATATTAATTTTATCATGACAAAAATCAATATATGCATGAACATCCATCTTGAAGTTTTTTAAATTAATATATAATAAAACTACTGAACAGTTCTTAAAGTCAGATTATGTAAAGCACACACACACACACACACACACACACACACACACACACACACACACACACAATAAATATAACAATATAATTTTATTAGATACAAAGTAAAAAATATCTGTTTGGGAATTAGAAGAATTGGATCTTCTTGCTTAAACAAGGCAAATGGTCCGAATTCCAACAATTTACGGCAGTTCCACAAGAGGACGTATTTCCGTTAACTCCGCCCATCCTGACCATATATGGTCTGTCTGGCAGTCTCTCGACCGCGGCTATATCCACCCGGCAAAAAGTGGACACGAGACATCAGTGTGCTCCGGAGATAAGTAGGAGAACAACAGCAAATACTTAGGTAAGAACCAACCCAACAGTGGTTGACGACTAGGATTTGAATGGCTCATTTATCCTGGCTGTTGTTAATCGAAACGGGCTTGTTAAAAACTAATTACCGCTATCTGGTTGTGTCGTTGCTACATTGGGCCTAGCGACATGTTAGCTTTAGCCAATCGGGCCTGTCAGTAGTGGATATCGCCCGAAACGTCTCGTGTTTGATTGTTTTCTTATTTTTGTACACATGTTACATTCTGTTTGTCCCAACTAGCACGAGTCTTAAATATTATACAATGTAATTCTTGAGTGGCAATTTGGACATTTAGCGGCATAGCCCGTGTTAGCGGCTAACAGCTGGGCTAATCAGAGAAACTAAGCCGGTCAGATTGAAAGGAACCTAAATGCGATGTTATTTCATTGCCAGGAGTTAAAGGCCTCATTGTTTATCACGTCAAACCCTCCTGTTGGATAATTATCAGAATAAGCACCACTAGAGTTACATTCTCTTCTCGGCACGTTACCGAGCCGGTGTTGTATCCAAAGGAGCACCCTCTGTCCCCCGCGTCACAGCGCATGTATGGTACTCGCTGTTCCCTAATAAACAGAAGGAAGTCCGGACAGCCCATACGACACCCAGTTAGAGCAAACATACCAAAAATAAGACGGCTGTCCACAGTAGAGTCAATGAAACTACTTTACAATGCGCCACAACACCTCATCTGGGTGTTGAGTCACTTACAGCCTGATTCATACATCTGCAGCAGCTCACCCATGTCTAATGCTGGCTTGATTCTCACACGTTAACCAACAATAATGTGATTTTTAAAACTGTGTTCTAATTTTAATCCGATAGACTTCCACAACCATGCCGTCAGACTTGGCCAAAAAGAAGGCAGCGAAGAAGAAGGAGGCCGCCAAAGCACGCCAGCGCACCAAGAAATCTGATGAATTAAACGGAGAGGGCGACCAACCAGAGAGCCAGGAAAACGGAGCACATAGCAATGGTGATAATGGTGAGGAACACTGGAATTACTGGAACTGCACTGGCACTTTGAGTATTTAGTGATTGACAGTTGGTCCTTTTCTTTGGAAACAGGTGTTGTCAGTTTGACAAAGGAGTTGGATGAGTTTGAGCTGCGTAAGACGGAGGCACGGGCAGTGACCGGCGTCCTCGCATCCCACCCCAACAGCACTGATGTCCACATCAGCAGCCTGTCGCTTACATTTCATGGTCAAGAGCTGCTAGCAGACACCAGCCTGGAGCTCAACTCAGGCAGACGCTATGGCCTCATCGGCCTCAACGGCACAGGTAACCCCTCATCACCTCCTCCACACCTTTAGTGAATCCTAAAGGCACTTGATGCTAACTTTTCTTCTGCTAGGGAAGTCCATGCTGTTGTCAGCCATTGGGCATCGTGAAATCCCCATTCCTGAGCACATAGATATTTACCACTTGACCCGGGAGATGGCCCCCAGTGACAAGACGGCTCTGCAGTGTGTCATGGAAGTGGATGAGGAGAGAATAATGCTGGAGAAAGAGGCAGAGAGACTAGCCCACGAAGACTGTAAGTGAAATAAGATCAAGTAAAAACCCGCTGCTGATTGTGGCTGAACAGGAACTGACTCATCTGTCTCCACAAAGCCGAGTGTGAGAAGTTGATGGAGCTGTACGAGCGTCTGGAGGAGTTGGATGCAGACAAGGCACAGGTGCGAGCCTCTCGGATCCTTCACGGTTTGGGTTTCAGCGCTGCTATGCAGCAGAAGAAGCTCAAGGACTTCAGTGGAGGATGGAGGATGCGTGTTGCTCTAGCCAGGTACCGAGAAATGGAGTAGTTGTTAGAATTTCATATTGTGCATTATTTGTAAAAATCAAAGTATTGACTATTGTTTCAGTGGGAAGAATGGAAAGATGTTATTTCCTTTTATTTTAAATCTGAGCATCTGTTTATTTTGCAGAGCTCTCTTTATCAAGCCCTTCATGTTGTTGCTGGATGAGCCGACCAACCACCTGGACCTGGATGCTTGTGTGTGGCTGGAAGAGGAGCTCAAGTCGTAAGTTTAAATGTTTTAGTGGCATTTCTTTTTCCTCACACGTGCATAGAGCACAAACTCATCAGCCTAACGGGTCTTGTCAGGTTCAAACGAATCCTCGTGCTCATCTCGCACTCGCAAGACTTCCTCAACGGCGTTTGCACCAACATCATCCACCTGCATCAGAGAAAACTAAAGTATTACACGGTGAGAGCGGGTGGCTTAGACCGTCCCAGGACGCTGCCATGTGTGATCCTGATGCTAAATAAGGAATCATATCTGTGTGCTGTTGGATGACGGTGCAGATCTATATTTGTTAAGGGTAACTACGACCAGTATGTGAAGACCAGAGCTGAGCTGGAAGAGAACCAGATGAAGAGGTTCAACTGGGAGCAGGACCAGATGGCCCACATGAAGGTAAAGGGGATGTTTTTCTGCATCAGAGTGACCCTTTAGCCCAAATTAGCTGACGTTTGTTTGGTGTGTAACCTGTTCGTTTGTCTCCTGTAGAATTACATCGCCAGGTTTGGTCACGGCTCTGCAAAGTTGGCCCGGCAAGCGCAGAGCAAAGAGAAGACGCTGCAGAAGATGGTGGCGTCTGGCTTGACTGAAAAAGTTGTAAATGACAAGGTACGCCGCCGATGTGCCGAGCGTGGCGGCTCGAATACCTCTGGTTTTCCCTCTCTCACCAAGCCCCATCGTCCTGTTTCTTCCAGACGCTGTCATTTTATTTTCCTCCCTGTGGGAAGATTCCTCCTCCTGTTATCATGGTTCAGAACGTGAGCTTCAAGTACAGCGACAACACGGTGAGTGTAGCGAAGAGGCAGGTGACTTCCTCACAGAATTCTGGTTTATTCATGGCAACGGATTTGTTTTCCTTTAGCCGCACATATATAAAAACCTGGAGTTTGGTATCGATTTGGATACTCGAGTGGCTCTGGTGGGCCCGAACGGAGCAGGGAAGTCCACGCTGCTGAAGCTGCTTATGGGAGAGGTGGGTGGGTGATGCACCAACTCGCTAGCACCACAATGAAATCATCCTTTGAGTCTTTGCCTCTTTTTTTTTTTTTTTTTTTTTATAGCTCCTTCCCACCGACGGCATGATCCGCAAACATTCTCACGTAAAGATCGGCAGGTACCACCAGGTAAGCTTCAGCCTGTCTTTTGACACGTTTTAAGTTCTGAGCATTGAAATATATTTATTTCCCCGTACCTGCTCGTGTTTCCAGCATCTGACGGAGCAGCTGGAGCTGGACCTGTCTCCTCTGGAGTACATGATGAAGTGCTTCCCTGAGATCAAAGAAAAGGAGGAGATGAGGAAGATCATCGGTCGTTACGGTCTGACAGGAAAGCAGCAGGTGGGTTAAATCGGTTGATCCTTGTCCTGAAAAGCGGAGCGTCGCTAAAACCATCGACTGGTTCCAGGTCAGCCCCATCAGAAACTTGTCTGACGGTCAGAAGTGCCGAGTTTGTTTTGCCTGGCTGGCCTGGCAGAACCCCCACATGCTGTTCCTCGATGAGCCCACCAACCACCTGGACATTGAGACCATCGACGCGCTGGCAGATGCCATCAACGAGTTTGACGGGGGGATGATGCTTGTTAGCCACGACTTCAGACTCATTCAGCAGGTTTGTACTTGTGTGAAAGTCAGAAATGTGTTCAAACACTATTCTAATCATTCCCTTCCTGCCAGGTGGCTCAGGAAATCTGGGTCTGTGAGAAACAAACCATCACAAAGTGGAAAAGTGACATTCTGGGGTACAAGGAGCATCTGAAGACCAAGATTGAGAAGCAGCAGGTGCACGCCATCTGAAGGATGAGAGCGAACTGAAACATTCTTATGCATCTTATTGGACTGGTCTCTCGTACGTGTCATACCACGTTTCCATTTGACGGCGTTGATCGAAGCCCCGCCCTCATCAGGAGGCTGTGCTCTGATTGGCTGGTTCACCTGGAATGCATTCCATTGTGCTGTCCTCAAAGCAAGGTTTTCAGTTTTTATGTCATCCTGCACACAGCAGCAGCTTTTAGGTCATGTTTTATATTTAAAAGTTGACTTTATTTCCCTTCCTCTGGTGTAAAACAGCAGTTCTGCCTTATTTAACAATGTAATGCAATAAAGTTTGTCTGAATACACGGAACAATAAAGACAGCAGAATCAAACTGAGGATGTTTTTTTATTCAGCAAATAAGAGGGGACTGTATCCATCATACAGCCTTCCAGCAAAATAAACTATTGCAGCTCTAAACAAAAATTAAGATCTTTGGGCTCTGGTGCTCTACGAGGTAAATGGACATCTGCTTTAAACGGCATTAAAATGGACCATGAAAGCTGATTTTGGTGCAAAATGACACGGAATGTGATGGTTAATAAAAACGGGACAAATATGCAGGCATGAAGTTGCTCCAGTGCAGCTGTACGGCTAGAAATCTGCCTCAGAAGTCTTGATGTTTCCACTCAAATGATAAAGCCGCTATCAGACGTGACTATTCTAACAGAACAATCAGAATGAGAAATCTGCATCCACCGTGTTTAGTTGAACAATCTCCAGTCGATCTTCTACAAACATGCAGCAGAATGTTCACGTTGACCTGTGAACCTGCACAAAAGCAGGCGTTTCCGGACACAATGAGTAAATGATTTTTATTTGATGCATGGTTAATAAAAAGGAGTTATCCTTAAGCAGGAAGCACTCCGTTAAAGGTTTCAGCTTGTGATTGTCCGATTAGTGGCACTAGCTGCAGCTGAAACGGTGCAAGTTGGAGTGTTTCACTCAATGCCATTCTCATATAATCCTGGCCACAGCAAGTTCCAGGGGATTAGAGGAGGTGCAGGAGGAGGAGAGGTGTCGACGGTCACTGAGTCTCCCACTCTTCATCTGAGACTTCGTCTGGTGGAATGGAGCGAGTGTTACTGGCCCGGATGCTGCTGATGCTGGTCACAGAGAGGAGGCCGGCGACGCCCATCAGGCTGACGCCAGTGCCGTCCAGGTTCACCTGAGAGAGACGCATGCCCTTCAGGTGCTTCAAACCTGCAGGAGGAGGAGATTTAACAGGATTGCTCATTCGAGTGTGGACAAACAGGACGATATGTGATGGAATTGTTTACTTACCGTGGTCTGTGATCCGTGTGCGGCTAAGATTGATCTTAACCAGCTGCTGACAGTGGATCAAACCCCTCCTCACCACCGTGTCTCCCACCTGTGTACTGGCTAATCCCAACACCTGGAAAACGGGACGGATAGAGACAATCTGAGCTTTAAAGTGAGAAGATTAGACAAAAGAACTAAAAGCCTCTCCGGGTTGGTAAAACCCTAGCTGATGGAGAACTAAAACCAGGTGTGTTTCACTATCCTGATTTTTATTGCAGCCCCTAATAAAACGAGACGTTTTGTTCCACAGGAGAGAACTCGAGCTTTAAACCACCTGAAGGTGAGGCAGACAGGTGATGAGCTCGGCCACTCCTCGACTGGTCACCGCTGTTCGGTCCAAACACAGCTCCTGCAGCTCCTGCAAGCCGCGCAGAGAGGAAAGCCCTGCATCCGTCACCTGGGTGTTGCTGAGCGACAGCTTCTTCAACCTACATGAAATTCATGATAATCAGTTTGTTTACTTTAAAGAAACATCTGGAATGATGCTAGAAACTTGAGGACCTGGTCATGGTGGAGAGCTGGTGGACTCCCTGGTCTGTGACCTGTGTGTAGTCGGTCAGGTCCAGCTCTGACAGCAGAGACAACCTGCTGAGGAAAGACAGGCCACTGTCCGTCACAGTGTGGCGTCCAGGGAGGGTGAGGTGACTCAGTTTTAGACCTGAAAGAACATTAAATTCATTTGCTTTTCTCTCTTTGGTCATTCCTGAGTCTTCTTGGGAACAAACCTGAGATGATCTCGAGTGTGTGGTCACCGTCTTTTACTGTAATTCCTCCTAAACTGAGAGAAGACAGAGCTGGATGGGTGGCAAGGTTCTCCAGAGACGCCTCAGTGACGCCCGTCCCATCCAGACTCAGAGTCTGCAGACCGGACATCTCCACCAGAGCGCTTACGTCCTTTACCTGCCACAACGACAGATGAGAAGCCACTCCTGAGCTGCATGAACATGAGGTTTCTGAGGCCGAGTCACCTTCGTTTGCTTGATGCTGAGAAGTCGCAGCTGAGGCACGCAGGTGGAGAGCGCGGCCAGTGTGACTTCAGTCACCGCCGTCTGGTTCAGACTCAGCTGAGTCAGACAGGAAGGAGCTGACTGGAGATACAGCAGCATCCCAGCATCCGTCACTTTAGTCTGATCCAGGGACAGGAAGCACAAACTCTTCAACCCTTAAAGGAGATAAACACAACACACACACGCTCTCTAACATGTTAAATACAGCAGGTGAATCTACAGGAGCCTGTGAGTTCAGACCTGTGATGAACTGCAGACAGGAGTCGGTCAGTTTGCTACAGGCGGCCAGGTTGAGGGACTGGAGTTTACCCAGGCTGGGCAGGATGGACAAACCCGAGTCTGGACAAGACCGGTCCATGAGATTAAGAAGGAACAGAGGTGATAAACAATCAGACGGCAGTGGCTTTTACCCGTGATGAGGGGAGAGTTGACCAGACTGAGATGCTTCAGAGCCGTGAAGGCTCGTAGCTGCCGTAGAAGCTCGTTGGTGGAGTACGGGTAGCAGTTCAGGACAAACTTCTGCAACGGGCAGCCGAAGAAGAGCTCCAGGGTGCGCGGACGTAGCAGCCTCTCTCGGGACATGTGGTTGAGGAGAAGTTCAGCCAGCTCTGGGGTGAGACCTGCCAGGCTGCTGCTGTACTGCATGCTGGGAGCTGGGGGTGGGGTCAAGACAGCCGGGTCAGAACATCTCATCTGGTAAAGTTACCGAGCCAGATATGCTCCAGGGAGAGCCTCCCACCAGTCATGAGGTGGACGGTGGAGCGGGTGGCCAAGGCACATAGGGACGGCACGTTTGGTGTCCTGAAGGGTCTTTTAGGTGGAGACGGTTGTCCCTGAGAGACGCTGAGGTCCTCCTGCTGTGCAGCTCTCTGCAGACGCTCCACTGCAGCCTGCCCTGCAGCAACATGCGCCACCGGGCCTCCTGCCTCCTCTGGGTCAGCGGCTTCCTCCTCTGGAGCCTCCCTAAAACACAAGATTCATCAAAAACCCGCAGCTCCCTCTAACGGAGGATATGAGCACGGCAGGTAGCAAATCCCCATTTGATCTTATTTTGGATGTATTGTTACACAAGTTCATATCGTTATTATTTCATATATCAGGGTGAACTAGCTGCTGACTTTGTGAAGCAACTTATTTAGGTTATCTAAGAAATAATGTTCTCATAACAGAATTAAGGAATAGAAAACATTATTGGTGTTTTATTTTATCTATTCAGATTTAACTGAAATAAATACGAGCCCCTATAGGTGATGCTGTGAGGATCTAAAATACATCTTCACAGGTACGTGACCGAGTCTAGAGTAGAATTTATTCAGATTCCTTTCATTACAAATGCTGTGTGACGAAGTGGTGTGGATGATTTCCCCTTCGCCCCTGTAGTTTATTTCTGTAGCCTGTTGGCACTGTGATGGGGGATATTTTAACCAGACTGAAATGTGAATATTGCACTGGTGTGGATGTAGTTAGTTACCATTTGGGATTTCCTGTTTGCTTTGTATCCAGAGCAGGGAGGGCCCACCCAGTACTACCTCCCTGGATTATCCCATGATTGGCTGCTTCATTTGAACAAACCAAAGGAAGTGGGATTTGTTTATTTGGTCTTAGTGTGAAAATGTTTCTTGTATTGTAGAAACAGTTTTGTCTTTTGTTTATGTTAACACTTAGGTACATTTATGTGGATGTTTATTTCCTTTTGGAATTAATGTTGGAGCACTGATGATTGTGGCTGATTGTTTGCAGGTGTGATTTTCTGGGGTATTTAAAGGAAGCCAGGTGGAGGCTTGGGGAGGTATTTTTTATTTTGTGATCTGTAAAAGGAAAGCAGTGAAATAAATGCCTGAGAAGCATTTTGGCTCTCAAGGAAAAATGTCCCTGTGCTGCAGTTTGCCTCTACTTCTTCCAACTTGAAGACCTTCTGGCTGCTCTACATTCTCACATGCTGTTTTTTTCTTTTTTTTTTTTTTTTACTTGCAAACGTTCTAAAGAAAAAACCAAAGCTTTATCTCAGTGAAACACGTCAACAAATCCTTACGCTGCAAATCAGACAAACATTAAAACAGTTTGGCCCAAATCTGCAGTGTGAACAGTTTTTAAACATTTAGTTACACATAAACAACAGAAATCCTCGGTTTGTGGTGAGAATTAAAAAAACAGTGTGTGTGTGTGTGTGTGTCCCTCCCCAGCTCGGTGTGTGTGTGTGTGTGGTTGTTAGTCTGTCTGCTACAGTCGTGCATGAAAGTGTTTCATCAGACCTGAGTCGGTTCCCCTGCTCTGGCCAGTGATGCCGAGGCTCGAATCGTCCTCGGTTCCTGTTCTCTGGAAAGAAAGGCAGCCTGGGCATTCCTGGGAAAAGAGCACAGATCATCTGAAACTACAAGAATAAAACTCTACATTTTCACAATAAAAGCATCTGAAAGATTAAAAAAAACTTTAAAAGCCCACACACACCTTTAATAATTCATATATCCGGCTGTGGCTCTGACTGTCTAGCTTCGACTGATCTCTGCTCTCACACACATACTCAGATATAGGACACACACGTGCTCTGCAGGAGTGAGTGTGATTGGCTGATCCGCTGTAGGTAACTGGGTTCAGACTGGTTTACTGTAAGTGTGAGATGGGGGCATTCTCTCACACGTTTCTTAATCCAAATCTCTCCGAAATGTGACGCGTTTTCAGGGCAGCGAGCCTAATCTTCAGAAAAGGGACGGGAGCTTTTTCCTGGGGACAGGAGGTCAATTGATTCTAACAGAAAGGTGACAAAGCTCAAAAAGAGAGAGAGAGAGAGCTAACCGTTTAAATGGTGCGGGGGTTCCTCTTCGCCTTCTTCTTCCTGTTCTGCCTCTACGCCGGGATCCTGGCCGTCACCGGGAACCAGTCTCTGTCCTCGTCCTGTCAAACAGCAGGAATGTCATCCAGTCCCAAACCCACCTCAGCTTAACGGCTTGGTCTGACCAGCTGATTCAGTCTAAACAAAAACAACCATCTGGGATTTTTCAATTTCCAGAACATGATTAACTTAATAGAGTAATTACAACTAACCATCACCGTCTGCTGATCTGTCTTTTAATTATGTTTTTGCACAAAAATGCTGATTTTTTTCACCCGTTTCCAATCTGAATATTTATGGAGGATTTTCATTTTTAAGCCACTAAGTCCAAGAAATAAATCCATTCTTTATGCCCTTTGATGCTTTTCACAAAAACACAATTTGTTTTGTTAAATCTAATGAAAATAACATATTTTAGACATAAAGAACATTTTAGCACCTAGATGGGGATCTCCAAAGAGCCATGAGCTGAAAACTTGTCCTGCAGTTGAAAATCAACATCTTTAACTAAAACCGTTGATCTGCTACGGATGGGAACGTCTACGCCTGACTCTTCTTCTGTGCACGTATTTTATTTTAAAAGCCAATATTCTGCAACGGTCGGGTGCAAAAGCTGAAAATGGGTGAAAAAGCTGCAAAAATCCTGATAAAACTCTTACCCCAGAAGTGAGAAGGTCCAGACAAAGGAGGATCCAGTCCGGGGATCCCGGCGTAATTCACCGCCTCCCCCCACAGGTGGTTAGGCAGCAGGGGTGGTAAAACGGGGTCATGCCCTCTGGCCCCTAACTCAGCAGGTGCGTGCGGATGAGGAGGTAAAACATGCGGTGAAGGCTCATTCTGAACTTCTGGAGGGGGTTCTACTGGACTAGGAGGTTCCTGAGGTGTCTCTGGGGGCGTGGTTTGAATGCACAGTGAAGCGTTCGGCGTCAGGCCCAGAGAGCGCAGCGAACACGCCAGCTCTGCCTCGCCGAAGCGCTTTCGTGGGAAACCCTGAACGAGAGAGAAGGAGGACAGGGAGGGGTGGCGTCCGCTGATGTGCTCCACGACGCTGCGCAGAGGGGCGTCGGCTGAGAAGCGCTCTCTCATGGACTCGCCAGACGGCATCCGAATCTGCAGCCAAACACAAATATTTCAACACAACACTTTTGTAAGCAGACGTTCATGTAAACGAGGGTTTTCCACTCACCATGAGGATACAGTTATTGTCTACATTCGTCTGAATCTTTCCTCCTAGTTTCTGCGGCTGGCTGATGGGAGCCGTCGCCTCTGAAACTGGAGTCGTCTGGATTTTCTCCTGCTGCTTCCTCCGATCCTCGGCGATCCGCTTTAACACCATTTCACGCTCCTGCCGGCGCACAGAACACAAGGACTTTTCAACTGACATCAGAGATTTAGATGTTTGGCTTAAGGACATCCAGCCGGCACCGACCTGTTTTTTCTGCCTTTTCTCAGCTCGGACCTCCTGAGCAACGCGTTGTCTCTCCTTCTCTTCAAAGTCACTTTTGTCTTGTTTGATCCGTGATTCAATCAGAGGTGGATCACTGAGCTGGGGGGAAGGATGCGACGGCTTCAGGACAAACGACGCGCACGCTGTTGAAGACAGGAAGTATAAATCTATGGAGACGATTTTATACCATCACAGAGTGAGATGGTGGCATTTTACCCATGCTGTCAGGGGGGGATGAGGGTGACGTAGAGGTGCTTGGTGCTTCTTTGGGAAGATTGAAAGCAGAAAAAGCGGTTTCAGCTGGCTGTGAGGATTTCTTAGCCAACGTGTGCCGTGGATACTGACCCTGTAGGAGCCTTTAAACGTATAGGAAATGGCATATTACATAATAAAGACTTTAGAAAACCATTAAATTTGTGTTTTTGAGAACTAGAGACCACTCACCAATCAGCAGCTTCTGTCACAGAAAAATGCCCCGCCTGCACAGCGGCTTGGATCTGTTCTTCAGTGAAACCCATCTCTCTGAGGGTGAGGAACAACTCCCCGATCGTCTGCAGGACATCATCCAAAACAAGACTCACATCATACGTAAACAAAAGCAGAAGTTTTCATCATTTTTAACCAAGAGGCCATCTCGCTGCCCACAAGAAGGCCCTTTTAAATCCTTAAAACTGCTTAATTCAGTTCATGATTACTACAGATGATTAATTCTTGTTGCATTACACACGTAGATTCATCGAAGAAACACTATTTATTAGACAATTAGACAAGTAATATTTCCAGCCTTATAACAAAGACATTACATAAATGATCATAAATCAAACCTGAAAATAAAAACCATTAAAATGTAGTTAATATTTTTACCATTTCTTTCATTTTTGTTGACAGCAAAGACAAAATAAAGATAATTTCTCCCAGGCCAGACTTGTGCACAGTACTGTACACAAAAATATTTCTATATTTTCCTTTCAGGTATCCCTATGCCTCTTTACTAGAGGCTTTTCAATGGTTGTCATTGCATTTTGGCTAATTTCTCCAACGTGTACACCAGAATTATCACTTCAGGATGATTAAATCAGCTTGAATATTATATAATTTTAAACAGAAATGATACGGAAAGTTATAAATGTTGAATAAATTATTTATCTTGTTGAAAATAATATGTAGCCGTTGGTTCACGTACTACTAGCATTAGCTTAATGAGTACCTTTACACTTTCAAGATATAAGTTTAACAAACAATTTATACAGTTTTGCCAGCTTATTGGTTTCCTCATGATATGTAATGTAACACATAGTAAAATATGTTGACGTAATATTGAACAAAAAACTGTTAATTTGGGAAATGCTAGTGTGTGAAATGTTGTAATTTGGATAACGGAGGTGTAAACAAACAACGTTAGCTCAAGAGCTAACAGCTAGTTGGGGGCAATGCTAATGTAGCTAAAGCTAAAACAGCTAGCAGAGTAATGTTTTCATTCGGCTTCAAGTAAAATGTTTGAAGCTTACCGGAGAGGCAGCGAAACTCATGTCGTTGTTTCAAGGTTGGTGTAGAAATATCAAGGTGGAACTGCTATGAACCATCAACTTTATGCATGGAATGATCCGCAATGCTAGTCAGTAGCCACAGTGACCTCTCCTCCCCTCCTGAGTAGGTAACAGATTGCCAGAACATCAACAAAACAGCAGCCTATCAACACCGCGGAGACACGGAGCTTTCTCCAGCAGGAAGCACTAAACAAATCTCATTTATTCCTCCGTGACTGACGCGTTTAGCACCCAATCAGCTGTCACCTTATTAGTAGCGATAATGCAGATTTACTAGTGGACGAGGGTGAAAAGTGAAAGCTGTTTATAAAAAAATAAAAATAAATAAAAAACACCCAATGTTAACAAAGAAAAGATATCAGAAAACTAAATGTAATTGTTTTTTCTATTAATAAACAACCACAGCTGACAGGGATCATACAACAAAATATTTAACAGTAATACATTCATATATTTCATAAAAAGAAAAAATAGTGAAAATGTGATTGATACACAAATAAATGTTATAAAGAGGAACTATTTTCAGAAAACAATTACAGATTTATAAAAAATGTCTAAAATGTTTTTCACAGTCCTTCAATATGAGCCATCTGCAAACAAGACATTATGCCTCTGATCCAGTTAGAATAGGAGGGAGTTTCCTTCAGTAAATGTGCCATTAAGGAAATAAAGTCAGCTTACAGGTTTGTCCTGAGTAGATTCTGATAATGGAAAAACAAACAGGCTCTTAAGGGTTTGGCTCATTTAACATTTCTGACATTATTTGCATTCCTTTAAAGAACAGCATCGTGAACTTTAAAGAGCAAGTCAACCCCTACCAGAGTCTGACTCCACTCCCACTTCATGTTTGAAAAATGCAACACATGCTGTTGCCTGGCAGACCGAGAGGGTGGAGCCGCTAACAAATACACACACACTCAGGCTCACGACAGCATTGTGACATAATAATGTACAAGTTTACATCATAGCGTACTTCTTAGCCAATAGCGGTGGCAGATTTAAATTAAAATACAGTGCAGAGTTTTTACCTGACAATGGCACAACACTGCCAGTTTTAGGCAGAATATTTAAATTTTAACTAAGATGCACTGAAGTGCCAAATTATTGACGACACGTGTCTGCAGCATGATTAGACACTCGTTTATTTAGTTTATCAGCAAAAAAAAAGTTTATTTTGGGGTGACTTGCTCTTTAAGAGCATAAGTAAAAACACTGCTTTTAAAAACATATTTTAAAACAAAGTGAAATGAAAGCACTAAATAGAAAGTTCTAAAACTATGCAGTTTTGACTTGCTTTTAGCACCCCCTAGTGTCTGTTGTCAAACCGAAAGTGGAACTCTTTTTGCTGTGCATGTCTTTTGAAACAACTGCTGAAATGTCTCCCAGCCTTCATTATTTTCTACAGGAGTGATTCATCACTTAATTCAACATATCGGTTGTGTTCATGATCTAAAATATGCAGGAAACATGGTGGAAGCAGACCGCAGCGCCAGCACAGCTCCACTTTCCTAGGACTAACAGGGAGCAGCCTTCTACTCTGAAGTTGCAAGTGCAATAATCTGGCTAGAGGTCAACCGATATTGTTTTTTCCATTGCCGATACTGATGCTCATTTATCTAGCATTGATTAACAGGGGCTGCCTATGGACACGTGTTAGCCTAGCCTGCCGATCCTCACTTGGATTAGAGGGGATTGAATCCACCTGAGAATCGTTTGTGGAGCCGGCAAAACTGGGATGGGAGGGGAGCGCTTTGTCAAGCAAGGATTTATCAGGAGATTCCTGATATTCTAATCTTGCTTTCTGGAATACCCCCCACATCTGGTACCAGCATGATATATAAAAATGGTAAATATAGCGGTTTACCCCTATATTTTCGCCACAGAATGCAATGGGGTCTGAGTGATATTTCATTAACCCTGTAAATGGCCATTTTAGGAAAAACTGACTCTATAAACTGATTTACAAATATGAAAATTTGCATAGTATACATTCAACCCTTTAATGCATGATGGTCACTACAGCGGACAGCTACTCCAAATTGTTAGGTTTTTTGCCGCTGCTAGAGTCTTAACAAGAACCAAGAGAACCAAACACATCACTCCTGTTCTTAAATCTCTACTCTGGTTACCAGTAAACCACAGAATCAATTCCAAAGTACTTCTACTAGAGTATAAATCACTCAATGGCATGGGGCCTGAATACATGTTGGATCACCTTCCTGTATAAATGCCCAGCAGGGCTCTGAGATCCTTAGGAAGGAGTCAGCTGGTAGAACCTTGGGTCAGAACCAAACAGGGTGAAGCTGCTTTTAGCTACTATGCTGCTCACCAGAGGTGGAAAGAGTACTAAAATTTCCTACTTAAGTACGAGTACCAATACTCAGTTAATACTCAAATAATATAATATAATTTAATTAAAATTTAAAATTTAAAATTTAATTAAAATAATTTTTTACTCAAGTACAAGTAAAAGTACTTGCCTAAATTTTTACTCAAGTAAAAGTAAAAAGTATCGTAAATAAAATGTACTCAATGTAAAAGATACTTAGTTACATTTTTGTCAGCGTAAAGATGGCTACATCAGTGCAAAATCACAACACGCTCGTGTGTGCATGCACACACACAGTTTGATGGAAGGATTTCTATCCAATCAGTGAGAACAGGACGTGCACATTGATTGGACGAGGTTTTTATAGGATTGTACGTTTCAATTGTGATTAAAATTATTCTTTATTTTGAAAAAGGATGTTAATTTTTAGATGCCATCAGTATGTGAGGTATCTCAATGTTCTCATGACAAAACTCTAACATGAGACTGTGCTCTAACCTGTCACATAACAAGCTAAATGAAAGTCAAACATTTCATATGGACCGTATGACAGCTGTTAACGTTGGCCCTGCCCTACTTTACCTCTACATTACAGTTCCTTTATCCATGTCCATCCTAGAGCTCCTCTCTGACCTTCATGCTTATTTAGAGCAGCTGATTTTTAAAGTTAGCGGAGTTCATTCACTCACTCATTTAAAGATATCGACCAGAGGCAAAATTTGTTTGAACGGCATGTGTAAATGTGTATTAAAACCTCAGATGAAAAAGGTTTTGGGATTTTGATGGCTGGAATTGTAAGAAAATCTGATGTTTGTGACCGGCGCGAGAAAAACAGTAACTTCTGGTCTAAGCCCTGGGCAGCTGGTGACGTTTCACATGGAGCTCTGCTGAAACAGCTGTAGTAAACAACGCCTGACTCCGGTGTTTCTGCGTTAGCGTTATAGCAGAGAACAATGTGTCATCAATCAGATGTAGCTTCTGAAGCCTCTACTAGTCGGTCAGATTTGTATTTTCTCTGGGATACGGCGACGAGAACGGATGTTAGATTACTGGAGAAGTTCAACCGAACTCCGACCCCGCCAGCTGGATATCACCACCAGAGGTGCAGACATGTTTTAGACCGTTTGACTCTGAAGACCTACGACCCGATTTGGACATAGAGGAAGATTCTGTTCATCTTCAGAACCAAAATCGGTACAGTTTGTTTACTTTTCTTAAATATTTCATTTCTGTGCTCCACTGGGAGCTCTAAGCTGATGAGTTCTCAGCTGGTCTTAGCTCCATCATGTGTCCCAATATAGTCCAGTAATCTACAGTTTTACTGCTGTGTGTATTTATTGATATAACTCTGGAAAATATTTAACCGACAATTTACCAGAATAAATCTTCCTGATGCTGGAGTAACTCCTTAGCTCAATTCATTGTTTGCACTAATCCAGGATGTCATGGAGGTTCTAATGTTGAAATATAGAGATCATCTTTTAGATTATATCTGTGTGTGTGTGTGTGTGTGTGTGTGTGTGTGTGTGTGTGTGTGTGTGTGTGTGTGTGTGTGTGTGTGTGTTCGTGTGTGTGTGTGTGTGTGTGTGTGTGTGTGTGTGGTAGCTTTCCCAAAGGACTTGTTCTTTCCTTACCGGAGCTTACACAGTTAGCAGTTTTGCTGCAGTCATGCTAACGGGACTCGTCTAGAGTCCAGAAGTAGAGGTGCGGTTCTAGATGGATTTATAGATGTAGGTTATTATTTTAGATCAGACATGTTATTTAAAAATGCGTGTAGGACACGGACACATGGCTCAGACCTTTTGCTGCAGCTGTAAACGCAATTTTACGTAACAATTAGGAGCATGAAAGTAAACAAATAACAGTGATTCACAATACTAGCATCAGCAGCTAGCTTGTTTTACGTGCTGGAGTGACATATGCGAAACACAGTTCTTCACTGTCTGGAGGAGAGGATTTGGATTTTCTGTAATGATTTATGAAATTGTTTCATTTATACCTAAAGGTGAATGAAAAAAATATATTAAAAAAATCATGGTTAAGATTTCCTAAATTATGCGTGAAAGGGTTAGGGTTAGATTTTTTAAATTTGCATTAGCAGAGTGCGGCCAGCAAGTGGCAGTACAACACCATTATTTCACCTCAAGCATGTTTTTTTTTTTTTGGGGTCTGAAACCGAGAGGCACCTTGGAGTGGTACTCTTGTTGAAAACTGAAGCCTTTTGGTCTATTTATTATAGATAACGCTTTGGAAAACAGCCACAACACCCACTAGACATATTTACACAGATAAACCGAATTCCTGAATGTCTATAGGATTATGATTATTATGCTTATCCCTATACTCAGAATCCCAGCCAAGATAAGCATGCTGCTGACTTATAGATTACACTAAACACCTAAATATTCAAGGCTATGTGGTATTTGTTTATCTGTGACTTTGAAAAGAAAAATCAATTCTATTTGGACTTTATTATTCAACTTTACACAAATATTTACTTTAGTCTTTTGTAAATTTAAAATACCCTTTCTGTATAAAAAGTCCATAAAACTTTTGTATTTAAAATCATCGTCTTAATAATAGTATCCAATATATATATATATATATATATATATATATATATATATATATATATATATATATATATATATATATATATATATATATATATAGAGAGAGAGAGAGAGAGAGAGAGAGAGAGAGAGAGAGAGAGAGTCAATCAATCTTTATTTCAGACAAGGGATATGTCCATAACAAGAATAAAAAATAAAAAAAAATACAAACACATTCTAATTAAAAACCGTATAGGCAGTTGCTCCAATGTTTAAAAAGGACTGAGGAGTACCTCGTGTCACTGTAAG